TCAGTCCTCTTGGTGATCGTCTGAACCCCGTGCTCGTCTCTTCACCGTGCCAGGAGTGTGTATTGAGGTGGTGGGCGAATGGTCTTACCCCGAATGTGGTCTCAAGAAAGTGGAGCTCGTTGGTTGCTTTTCAGCTGAATTTCACAACGAGGTTTACCTCGAAAACTAGGGGTTATCCCAAACTTTCAAAACACACACACACACACACACACACACACACACACACACACACACACACACACACACACACACACACACACACACACACACACGCACGAAAAGCAAACTAAAAAAAGGGGGAGGGGTGTCCTTGCCTATCGAACTTGGGGCGCAGCCTCAAATCGTCAATCGGCAGGGACTCAGAGCAACATCACAAGACACCCCGGAGAAAACCTTACATCGCAGAAGAGAAAAAACTGCGATACAAATATGAAGAAACCCTTCCAATCGACAAAAGGACTGACTTAGCGGAAGGCTTGGTCGCCATGCAGCACGGCATATTTAGGAGTTGAAGGCTCGTACAGCTGGTCTCGCTTGAGATGGACTACACCAAGGCCATGGTGTTTTGACTCGTTCGGAACGGGGCGCACCAGCCTCAGACGGCAGAATTGTCCGTCTCCTCGGTCACTGCTATTGGCCCAAAGACACCCAAAAGCGACATGGGTGCGCACGCCGTGGTAAATGTGAGTCAGCTTGCGAACAGCCCCAAGCGTTGCACCTGGCGCAAGAAAAGAAAACGGAAAAAAATAAAAATAATACGGGAAGGACAGTCACTCACGTGCCAACTGCGTCGTGGTTGTCGTCGTGTTCGTGCTATCGCCAAGCTATTTCACATCAATCAAGAGCAAAACACCCAGCAACGACGGCACAATCAATAAGTCGACACGGACAACATGCCACACCCGTTGCAACTGAATACCTGCCCGCCTGCTAGAAAATCCCAACTTTGACCCCGCCTGCAAGCGCACACGGACCTCATCCAGAGGAACAATGCTCAGACGACGACTTGAAGGTGCCCGATTCACTTCGGGATCCGGCCGCATAAAGTTGGGATTGGCTGATCCCGGCCGAGTCGGTCCGGCCGGAGGTACATCTGAACTGGCCAAATACACGTGGCCACGCGAGCCTTGGCGACTCACACTCGGCAGCACCCCCGTTTCTGAGCCGTGTCGATGGCGGTAATGAACAAAGTGCACCACAAACAGCGTCACGAAGATGGCAGCCACTACACCCAGAACAATGCCCAAAGGCATCTTGTCACCGTTGGTGCTCTTGTTCGTGGCTGCATCCAAGGTGCTTTGACACAGCGTGTCGGCGTATGCCGTACACGCCGTCACAACTGGATCCCCCTCGGCGCAACTAGAACAGGACGCACAGATGACGTTCTCCGTTAGGATACAGCCCCGAGCCACGTATTCGCCGGTACCACAGCTATCGCAGGTGTTGCAGCTCGTGGCGCCCGGCGCGTCGCTAAAAGTACCCACAGCGCAAGCGGCACACTCGGTCAAAGGCTCAGGACTGCCGGTGGCACTAGCGTCAAAAGTACCCGCAGCGCACTCCTCGCACTCTGTTGTGGGGTCCCCGTCCAGATCCTTGCTCCCACGAGCACACGTAAAATCGGTGCACGGGCCGACGCTGCCGGTCGGTGCATAAGTACCAGCAGCACAGGCTATGCAGGGTGTGGACGGGTCACTGTCGTCGTCCACCTCGCCTGCGGCGCAGATATACAGGCTGCAGTTACCCGTGGCGTTGGCAGGCACATAATGACCTGCCGCACAGGCCACGCACGGCGTGGATACGTTGGCATCATCGTCCACGGTACCCGCTGCACAGATAAAGTCGCTGCAAGGCCCTGAAGCAGGTGAGGCCGGATTGATGTAGCTGCCGGGGGCACACGTCTCGCAGGGTGTGGTCGCATTGTCGTCATGATCCGTGGCACCACTTGCACAAAACTGCGCGCAGACACGATCTGAGCTAATGGTCGGGGCCATGGTCTCGTAGGTGTTCCCGCCATCGCAGGTGGTCACGGTCTGACAAGTGTTGGCACCCAGAGTATCGGAAAAGTCGGTTGTGCCGTCGCAAAAGCGACAGGTGCCGGCATCGTCGAAGGTGCCATACTCGATGCTGCAGTTGAGAGGGTCATCCAACAATAACACGGCCACCAGCTCGACCTGACTCGCCACGGAAAAGGTTAAATCAAGGGTGAGCCAAAAGTCGGCCGTGTCCACGACCGCGTTAAACTGAAACTCTAGCACCTGAACACATGCACGAACAAAACGGTGAGACAGTGAGTGCAGAAACAGCTGCTCCTACAACTAAAGCGGTTGCAAGAAGCACCATCTTGGCTGACCTGCACGGCGGAGGTATCAGCTAAAGATGCAGAGGCAGGCGTCAAAGCTGGGGACGTCCCTTCGAGGTCAACCTGCGCACCGACGCTGACAGCAGCTGTGCTGAGCATAACTGCATACGCGCGAGACCTACGTAGCGAGGCCGCGACATGGATCGTGTCCAAAGAATTAAGCTAGCCATGCCTTGTGCGCACACGCGACCCCTGGACACGACCAAGGAAGCCTGAGAAAAAGAATAGACCTCCTCTGAAATTGAGGCGTACCGTGTAAAGTCAAAGGCATGGTTCAGAACCGGGGTAGTGACCTGGACCGCAGCAGCGCTGCTGGCGATCAGCTGCAAAGTTTGTACGCCTAGGCTACCACTGGCCTCAAGACTGGCCGCAACGTTCGGGCTGTTGGAGAGAGCAAACGTATTGGGCCCGCTTGCGTTGAGCGAGTAGTCTGCCGGGTAGCGATCGGCAATACAGATCACCGCAACGTCGAGGCGCAGGGATGCATTGACCGTGCCCGCCTGGGGCTGGACAACGATGCGATCAACCGCTGCCTGATCCTGAAAGTCCACGGGGGCCACGACTGTCTGTGTGTCGGGAGCGTCAGACAAAGCCAAGGTGAATCGAGACGCAGAGGCTGAGCCGTGTGCCCAGCGTGCTTTGAAGACAGGACAGCAGCATTTTACATACCTTGGTATTGCTGCCATTGTGCAACAGGATGCCCGTGAGTGACAGCACCGATGAGGCGCCGCTGAAGAGTTCAATGCTGAGCGCCTCGTATTCGCCATCGGGGCCGTTCTGCAGTCAAGGGGAGCATGAGTGAGTCGAGTCACAATGCCCCATTAACAGCACACTGGCCGCATGTGCAGATGGGTTGCGCCGCCTCATTCTAAAGTTCGGCTTTGAAGCCGCGGCACTTGGCGCCCTAGGTCTGGGAATGATGCAGCCGTTTGTGCCCCCCCTTCTTCTTGTCAACCCCTGGCCGGTTTGTCTGTCCCTTCCTGAGTCTAGTGATTTTGCTTACAGCTGGCACCGGCACCAGAGCTTTGATATCCTGCATTTTTTCTTTTTTTTTTTTTTTTTTGGCTGACCTGGGCGGTGATGCTGGCGAGAGTGGCTGGAAAAGGCAGGTCGATCGTGACAGAGGTTCCGTTCCAGGCATCCACACCATCAATAACAATGGACCCCACGTCCGGGGTTAGAGAGGCGCTGGCAATGCCGCTGGCTAGCAGCGATCCGCACTCGGCTAACACACGTTGCATCAACAAGTCGGTTCAGGTATGAGCATAAGAGTCCAAGTGGAAGCGGCTGAGGAACACAGGGAAAGCAAGTAAGATACCAGCATGTGCTCCAGATGAGAGCAGTGTCATCACGGTCAACAATGAAACAATGGGAAGCCAGCTCAATGCCGAGTGCATCGCGGCTGTTCGCGTTCGCCCTGCCATGATGACCGTGGATCCCGGATACCGACAGCACCTGCAAAGGCGGCGAACAGCGCGATGAGGTGAGTGAGCCCTGTGAAGTGTCCTTCTACAACGCACGATTTGGCTTGGCTCCACACCATGTATACCGATCCCGATACGAGACCCAATTGCTTTTTTCGACCCGACACGCACCGAGTACGGCCAAGCAGAGCCGCGGCCAACAGGCTCAGAAAGGAGCCGTTCCAACGCGACCTGTGCGTCCAGGCGTGGTTATTTGATGTCAAATCGCCCACGGGGCACTGACGAGGAGCGGCTGAGACAAGAAGAGGCACACACCAGCACACACACACACACATACACACAAGCACACACACGATCACACGGAGCAGTACACGGCGCGCGCGCACGCACAGACACAGACACACAGAGAGACAGACACGGATGGGGAGCGAGAGCGGCGCGCAAATGCAGCACAGCAGGGCGGGCGATATCGTGTGTGAGCTGGATTGACGCCCACCGCCCCGCGTTTTTTGACTTTTTACGTGTCTCTGCTAGATGGGATGCTGGCTGACATGTTGTCTACTTTGAAGGATAAGATTATCGGATTCTCTAACTTTGCAAACGTTCTCTTGAAATGCATTTAAATTGGCTTGAATGCACATCAGTAATCGTTAAAACTCTCTACCGCCTACATAATTCTCTGAATCAATCGTCAAGTTGGCTCGTTTCTCTTCCGTTTGGACACCACTGCTTCCCAGTCTCTACTTGACTCACATGTTACAAACGTTGTGGTGATACTACTCTTCTCGCTATTGTCAGACGCTCATACAAAATAACTGTGGATTATGTCACACTTTGAAAATTTCGCTCCCTTCGCTCTCTCTCTCTCTCTCTCTCGCATTCTTGAAGCAAGATCTTGTGTAAAACGCGAGGAAAAAAAACATTCGAGGCGGCATGGCAGAGCCAGAGATGGGACCTGAATTGGTTTTTTTATCATATACCAGCAAAATCCAAAGATGAGACGACAAAGACCAATAACACAACAGCAACAAAGGAAACGGGACAATCAGACAAAAGAAAAGAAAAAACTGCCAAGAGAAGGCCTCACACACAGGTCTGCGTAACAGTCTCGGTATCATCAGGAGGAGAAAGAGTGTGGGTGTGTGAGGACACAAGTAGATATTCCAACAGCAGAAACAATTTGAGCAAGTGAACAACTGCTACCAATAACGGCCTAAACACGCCTCCGCACATACCACGGGCTGCAACCAACTGAGGCGTTGATAAGAAGAAGAAAAGGAAGAAGTTTGGATGACACGAAAATGACTAAGACTGAGACAACGGAAAACGGCCCAAACCAATCTTGAAAGACTCAAAGAGGCAACCCCTACCGAGGTTTGTGATCGAGTTTCAGCCAAGAAGAGCTGTTGTCATCAGTTCAACGCAAACACTATGCCGGCGGCCCAAGATTGGCGGCGGAAAGAATGTTGCTGAGCCGGAGGGCATCTTCCACAGAGTCTTCGAGCTGTGAATGCTGGCGCGGATACATCTGAGTGGGTCGCATCAACCGAGTGTCGCTGCTCAAACGCAGGGCGTTCTCAAATTTGCGACGGCACGTCTTCTCGTGTTTGCGGCGATTGCTGCTGTTGGAAAATCGCTTCTCGCAAACTTCGCACGAATACGGCTTGTCCCCTGTTATCGGCGCACACGGGCATGAGCGCGAATCACGGCAAGAGTAGAGCTGCCCGGGCGCAGACACAAAGCTGACACGCGCCGACGCCAATTCGGGGGTCGACAGATGCAAAAATGGCCGGGCGCTGCAGAAGCGAGACGAGAGTCACAAAACTTACCCGTGTGAATGCGAACATGACGCTTGAGGTTGCTGGAGCAGCTAAAGGCCTTATCACAAAACTTGCAGTGATACTGGCGCATGGGGCGACCGGGTCCTCCGTCGCCACTCGCGCTGGCGCCCGTGGAGCCCTGGTTGGATATGCGGCGCCGGCCCGAAGCCGGGACTTCAAGGTATGAGGAGCTATCGTGTTGCTGATCCAGACGAGAGCCCGAGGCCTGGCGGGGAGAGGCGGCGGCGGGCGACATGGATGGACTCGATAACATGGAATTGGTTTCATCAGACCAATCGAGGAGGTCAACCGAGGCCACAGAGGAATCACCATCCGAAAGGTAATCCCGGGCCGAGTTGAGTTGGGAGAGATAAATGTTGTTGAGCCCAGGGCCCCCCGGACCCTGGGCGCTGGAACCGGCGTCTGTATCTTCAACTGCAATCGGCGGTCGTTGCGGCATGGTTTGCGCGGGCTGGCTCGGTGCTGCTTGCATCTGCGATGCCAGCGACTGTGCTGGCATTTGCTGGGTGGAAAATCCCATGGCCTGACGTGATGGAAGCATAACGTGACTACCGTCGCCAAATAGGGCTGGATTGAAGGGAAGTCCAGGATTTCCGCCATTGAGGCCAAAGTCCAGGCCAAGACCCGCAGCGCCGGGATGGTGGGTCATTGAGCCCGCTGCCGATGAGGTTGGTGCAACTGCACTCGCCGCCGTTGTGCCGGTTTGTCCCGGGGCGATGGCACCACCAGCCCCAGCCTCGCCTTGGTCGATGCCAAAAGGGTTGACCTTGCCAGCGTTCTCCTCAAGGAAAGACTCAAGCTTCAGGCCCTCCAGAATGATGGCGTAAGAGTCACGGCGGGCGCCCATCCGATCCTGGGCTTCATCATGGCCTGGGATGGGCGAACCACGAGGCGAGTGACGGGGCGAGTGACGAGGCGAATGGCGGGGGGATAGATGGGGTGAGCCCATGCCCATTGGGGCTAGATTGTGTGCATTTTCGAGGGGCAGGGCCGGCATATGCGGCAGGGACTCTGCACGGCCCGTGGAGATGAAGGTAGGTTGGCGGTGTACCCGTAGCAGTAGCGGTGAACCAAACAAGACAGGACCGTGAGGGCAGGTGTGGTGCGTGAGCAGGAGGGGATGCACAAGGCTGGGAACGGGCTGGGTAAGACGATGGTAGGGCACGTACCGATTGGGGGCTGTGCCTGAGGCTGCGCCTGAGGAAAATTGGACACGCTGTGAAGCTGGAGCAGTTGGAGTGCACCTGCGCGACGGTAGCGCACGGCAGCGGTGATGGCACTGAGTTGTGTGTCGTCCGTGATGAGGGGGTCCGCACCGGCTTGCAGAAGAAGGCGAACGAGGTCGTCAAAGCCGGCTTCGCAGACAATGCGTAGGGCGGTGGCGTTGTCCTTTGTTCGAACATCGACACAAGCCGGTTGCTGTTCGAGGAGCCAGGCAACGATGGCGGTTTGATGGCGGACGGCTGCGAGGTGTAGGCCATGAGCACCGGTTTTGGGTTCGCGATCGCTAAGATCGGTAAAGTTGTTGGCACGAAGCCATTGGGCAACGGCAACTTGTCCACAAGCGCAGGCGGTCAGAAAGGGAGTGAGGCCCTGTGAATCGGGAGTGATCAGGAGCTGTGGGTTTTGCTGGGCTAGCAAAATGAGTTGATCGAGACAACCCTGGCGCACCAATGCCGCCACATCCTCGGCCATGACGACGGCACGAGATGGTAGTTGAGAGCTGGGGGGGTCGAGTTGAGTTAACCCGTCGGCATTAGGGGCTGCACGGCAGTTGAAAGGGAGTGGTCTTCTTGGATTATCACAAGTTGATCAGAAAGTTCAAGGGCGCGCGTCGCAATGGAACGTGTGTCAGGTCGCAGAGGCGACCCACACGCGCGGCCTTGGTTGGAAGGTTGATGGGAACAAAGAAACGCGGCGGGGGCGCAGACGAGGGAAGGGTGCGACAACAGGGCGATGAAAGACGGATGTGCACACCCCAACCAAACTCGGCTCGAGAGCCCGCGCAATGCCACGAGAGAGGCGGAGGCGAACCAAAACGTGGCTGCCAACGCTTGAGACGCAAAGCCAAGGAATTTTTCAGGCGGGGAAAGCGACGGGGGCAGAGCTATCTGCGCTCTGCTTCCCCAACGTTTCCCACCTCGGCGTATCCGTGTTTGAGATGAATATGCGAGTCTGTCCGCACATATATGCGAGCACCCCAGTGCCTATCTCAGCGAAACCGTTGAGCCCCAGGCACACCTGGCCGTCGACCAAGTCAGTCGTTCGTTCGGGTGTCTTCGTTGGCGCAACGGCCAAAAAATCCACCCCCGCGCTTGCCAAACGATAAAAGGCAGAGGAGGAGGAGGAGGAGGCAGCGGGGGCCGCGGGGAACAAGACCACACACAGGGCAGGTATACACACACGCTCCAAGTCAACCCCCAAAGCACCACCAGCACCACCAGCACCACCAGCACCAGCACCCTGGACCAATTCAAACCCGCAGGGGACAGCAACCCGACAAGGGGCGGTGCGCGTTCAAATGGTAAAACGAACCCAAAAATTTCTCTTGAAGCTCTTGAAGCTCAGCTCTCTCTCTCTCTCTCTTCTCTCTTCTCTCTCTTCTCTCTCTCTCTCTCTCTCTCTCTCTCTCTCTTCTCTCTTCTCTCTCTCTTCTCTCTCTTCTACCTTTCTCTTTCTCAAACCAAAATTAAATTTTGGTTTCTTTCTCTTCTCTTTCTCTTCTCTTTCTCTTCTCTTTCTCTTCTCTCTCTTCTTCTCTCTTCTCTCTTCTTCATGTCTTCTCTCTTTCTCTCTCTCTCTTTTTCTCTCGCTCTTCTCATCTGTCTTTCTCCTTGGAGACTTGGAGACTAGAAAAGCCAGAGGGAGAGCGCTCAGCCATGAGCATGGACAAGCTTGTGGGCAAGCTTGAATCAGAGAACATGTAGGCAGGAAGTCAATGTGCAGAAAACGGGTTGTGCTATCATACTAGTGTGGTGGATTCGCATCCAGGTGTGGGGAAATGGTAACATCCATGGCTTTAAAACACGCCGTTGGTGTGGTCGACTGCTTCCTGTGTGTGCTCGGAGTGTGTCCGAACCCTGACATAGGCAAACGAGCGAAAAATACAGCGGGAGGGATCGCGAGCCACCACGGCGGCACCGCAGTGATAGGGCCAGGCGAGGCTTCTCCCGAGTCAGGGGCATGAGGGATCAAGAGAGGCTGCATCGTTGTCGGGTGAATGAGTCTGCAGTGAAGCGAACCTCCGAGATCTCACCGCCGCGTTCCCAACATGGAGTGGGCTGAGCTGCATAGTAAGGGACTGGTACGTCGATTTAGTTGAGCCTCTTCACGCCATGCTCTGGCCTCGTGTTGTAGCCGCGCGAGCCCACCTGTGGCTGCCACGACCCAGCTGCCACGACCCAGCTGCTGCCACGACCCAGCTGCTGCCACGACCCAGCTGCTGCCACGACCCAGCTGCCATATTTACTCGACGAGCCCGAAAGCGACTGAAGCCAGCAGTTCTACCTTTACCGTTACAAGTGTAACAAGCTCACACTTTAACCCACAGGTTTTGCTTTCAAGCAGTTCTCACTTGTCCCGCATGCTGACGAAGAGGCTGTTAATGCTAATGTGTGATATTGTTTACACTTTGGTAGAGCCCATAGTGTGACTTTGTGTAACCATAGGTGAACCTGTCGAGGACTCGACTGGCGGTCGGTCCAGGAAAGGGCAGGGGCAGGAAGGGAGGGCATTGGGGCTGTGTCGTGCTGTGTGCATGGTTGCTTGGGGTGGGTGAGTCTCAACTGTCTGTGCGTCCGCTCCCCCGACAACCGTCGAGGGCAAGGGGAACGAGGAGGAGCACTGAATGGCAGCCGAATTGGACTGCAGGACACGGATCAAAACACACACACACACACACACAACACACACACACACAACACACACACACACACACAGAATGAAAAGACGCGAGCTTCACCAGGGCTTGCTTGTGTCGTTGTGTGTGTGCGTGTGTGTGCGCTCGCGGCGATCAACGACAAAACCCGTTGCAGCACCTCCATCACGAGCCCCTTTTGCGCCCGCTCCCGCCCGTTCCCTGGCGACCATCCGGATGTACGCAACCGCCCTCTGACCATTGATTCCAACGTACAGTCAGTCAGTCAGGCCCCTTTCTCTCTTTTTTTAACTCTCTCTCTCTCTCTCTCTCTCTCTCTCTCAAAATCTCTCTCTCTCTCTCTCTCTGATCTCTCTCTCTCTCTCTCTCTCTCATCTCTCTCTCTCTCTCTGTGCATGACCGTTGCGTCCCATTTTCCCGTTTAAAGTGGTCGGGGCACCTGGCGACGTGCAGCGCTGGTAGTCGTCTCTCTCTCTCTCTCTCTCTCTCTCTCTCTCTCTCTCTCTCTCTCTCTCTCTCTCTCTCTCTCTCTCTCTCTCTCTCTCTCTCTCTCTCGCTCTCTCTCTGTGCGGAGGGCACTGGACGTGACGGGCACGATCGTCGGCGTTCGGCCTTCTCATCACCGGGGGACTGCTTGTTTGGTTTGTTTGACTGGTTCGCTTGGCGGCTGCCGTTTTCGTCACGTCGGCCAGCATCATGTCAACCGCCACGCGCACCATGCTGCTGACCTTTATGGTCTCCTTTGCGGCTTTTAGCCTGATCTTCTTCCTCATTGGCCCCAGCGGCGGCAAGTACAGCGCCCTGATGGCCAGGGACGTCGAGGGCTCTGATGACGGCAGTGGCGGCGGCGTAGCCCTGAAGGAGGAGATTGCCTCGGCCCTTGAGCGTCGCATCGTCCAGGATGGGGCCCTCATCAACACTGACCGGTTGACCGACGAAATCTTCGCCAAACTCGAAGACCGCATCAGCGAGAATCTGGAAGCCCGCATCCAGGACGCCATCGTGCGCATGTACGCCACCATCTCCAACCACTCAAACTACACCGCCGCCCTGCACCTCAAAGATCTACCCGACACCAAGGGTCAAACCGGTAGCGCCGGAACCTCCGCCATCAAACCCTCGCCCAAGCCCGTCACCAAACCAAGCGTCACAGAGATTCGCTGGGCTGCCGGTGCCCGCAGCCAGCGCTGCATCGACATCAACCCGAGCTGGGATGGCCATGCCCGGGCCTGGAACTGCCAGGGCGCCTCCTCCAACTACCAAAAGCTCTTCCTCACCCCCGACTCACGCATCGAGTACGCCGGCCGCTGCCTCGACGCCACGGGCGTCAAGGCCGGCGGGGAGGTCCTAGTCAAAGACTGCTCAAAAGCACCGGCTCAATATTGGAGCTATGACCCCATTGACGACCGTGGTCTGCGCGCCACCGCTGCCCTCGCCAATACCGACACGGGCCTCTGCCTGGACGTGCAGGATGGCTCCTATCCAGAAAAAATCATCATGACCAAGTGCGACCGCTCCTGTCACCAGCTTTGGCACGTTTCGGACGACCAACGCGTCATTTACGTTCGCAAACAAGCCTCCCTCGACTACAACCGCCTGGTCCGCAAACGTGAACCTGTCGTGGCCTGCTGGATCAACACCCACGAATCCAACTTTGACACCAAGGCCCGCGCCGTCAATAACACTTGGGGCCAGCGATGCAACTACCTGCTCTTCATGGCCACCACCGATGCAGACGACCTGAACGTCGTCCTCATTGACATTGGTGGCCAACCGGAAACCCGCAATCATCTCCGTGTCAAATCCAAGGCGGGTTGGATGTACATGTATGAAAACTATCTCGACAAGGCCGATTGGTTTCTCAAAGGTGACGATGACTCGTATGTCGTCATGCCCAACCTCAAGGCACGTTGTTCCGCCTGCGGTGCGCGTTTGCTTCCCCTCCCCTGAAAGTCGACCGATAACTCCTGTGACCTTTTTTTGCAACCACAGGAATACTTGGCTCAGCAAGACCCGCAAGACCCTGTTCATTTCGGCCGCCTATTCCATTTCAATGGAGGCTCCACTCTCTATTATTCCGGAGGCTCCACCATTATCCTCAGCCACGAAGCCTTGAAGCGCCTCGGTGATGCCACCAAGGCAGGAACTCGCTGGCCTGGCTCAGACACGGGCCAAGCCGAGGATCTGCGCATTAGTCAGATGCTTGTCAAGCTCGGCGTGACCACAGCCGATACGCGTGATGAGGAGGGCAAGCATCGCTTCATGGCACTGGGTATCTCCTCTGAACGTGGCTTGGCCATTCCCAAAGATCGCGAGGCCTCCAAGTTTTGGTTCTGGAAGTACTCTCAAGATACCAGAGGAGGGGTCGATTGCTGCACCAACAAGTGGGTCGCCACCCATTACACCAAATATTACGGTTTGTACGCTTGGACCGCCGCTGCCTACCATCACATCTTGACATTTGTTTCCCGACGCGCACCACTCACGCGGCGTTGCGCTCGACGTAGAAATGTATGCACTCGATGCCATGGAGCGCAGTCAGTGCGTAGGCGATACGACGCAATGGCCCTTTTTGGAGCTGCCGATCAAAATCTGACTGTGAATTGCCCCGATTGCCGTGGTGGAGCTGCCTCGTCGCCCAGGCTTCCCCATTACCTTCTGTCCCTTTGTAGCCTTCACGTTGCCCTGGGCCCTGTTTTTTTACCATGCCGTCGTCTGTCCTCTTCTTGCTGTTGTCCGCGCGTGTCATGGAAGCCCGCAATTATATTTTTCTTGAGTTCTTCACTGGTATTGGCTTCTGCCTTGCCATCTGCATTTTTCAGACTTGTTTGTTTGCTGTTTCGATCCGTCTCTTGAGTCATCCTGTTTCAGTGTCAGTTTAATTCTGACTTGTTTTTGTCCATTTGATCCCCAATTCAGAGTGATGAGAAGACACTTTTCGTGCCGATTCGCTTCTTGCGCGTAGCACATTGAATTTGAATCATAACACAACCAAGGCAAGAGGCCACAGTCGACATGTTGGCATATAAAAAAAAAGTCGAGTGCGACGTCCATCTCCACAAGCCAGATGAACTCCGTTGCCGTCTGGCTACGATCGGGCGTCCTGAACCAATCACATCCGTTGATGAGGTGGGAATGGGCGCAATGCTTAGCAAACACGCATTCGCATCCACGCACAAGTACCAACCTCGGCCGCTTGCACGGGCACTAGACTTTGTCCCACCCGGTTACACAACGGACACTACAAAGGTCGGGGCAGACTGCATGAGGCAAGAGCAGCCTACGCAGGCCTGGTCGAGACAACAGATTACTGCTCTAGCTACCCAAGCCAGCCCAGCTGAAGAACGCACCATCCTACTACCACAGGCGTACAAGTGTTGTTCGAGACGGACCATCAACCGATACTCTGCGGCCAATAGCATCGTGGTGATGAGCGCACCCGGGGCACACTGGCTAAGGACACAGCCCCCATGCCCCAGCGATGAAGGCCGGTCTACATACGGGGGTCGTGAATGTCGGCCGTTTGTAATAGTTCCGCGAGCCACTCGCAAGAATCCTGAGTACAGACTTGATCCTGGGGTCGTTGGGCACATCAGGGGAGGCGAATGCCGCACAAGTGACGCCAAGCAAAGCCGACCTACTTGTCCCGCGCCACAGGTGCGCGTGTGGAGCATCAGCAAGCTGAGCTGGACCAGGTCATTGAGCGGTAATTGAGGCAGCTTATGGAGCGGGCCCAAAATGGGATCATCAGCTCGCTCCGTCATGTCCATGCTTATAAGGTGGTGTAAGCATGCGGCAGCTGAGAAATAGGAGATGCGAGGCGCTGCCATCACAAGCCAAGCAATGTCACACAACAACAGGGTTAAACAGATGAGCACCAAGCACCGCGATCGCGATCTGCCACCGACTCCAGCCAAGTGAGAAGCACAACGTTGGCGCATCCGCGCCATTAGAAGTGTGCACGTCCATCCAACGGCTTACCGAGTTGATGCTCGGGCCAGTGTGACTGAGCACGCAAAGCGTTGAAATTCATTAAGAAGGGAACTAGATGATGTTGCACGAGTGCATCGACGGGTGGCGTGGGCCGATGGGCAAGAGACTGCTGCAAATAGGTTCTAGCGTCCTCGAGCCAATGGCACAGCCGAGCGCAATACGTCCAAACATGGTCCGCCTGGGCCAAGACACAAATGTCATCAATGCCCTTGCGCATGGCCGCCGCTTGGAGAACATCCCCTGGCACCGGTGAGCCAAAGCGATGCACGGGAGCAGCAGCCCCACATAACTCATCGGGTTGGGGCAAAGCCCCCGCAGATGCAGCGCTATCCAAACGATCTTCCGCCTCTTCTAGCGCGTGCATGTGAACAGCGGCCGAGGGGCGGGCCGAGGGAATGGGCGTTTCCACGTCAGCTGCCGCTACAATATCAGCCACAGCAAAGTCTTCCTCGCAGCCCATTGCCTTGGCAGGCTGACTGGACCCGGGAACCATGGTTGGTGTGAACCTCCTGAATGACCGACCAGTTCAAATGGCTCTCGGGCGAAGTGTAGCAGATTTAGAAGCAAAAATGCATGGCGCAAAGCTGGCTCGGGTCACCAACATCAGTGGCACCTCTGCTGCCAGTAATTTTCTTCCTTGTGTGAGTGCTCGCACAGAGCTGGATGATCTGCGCAGCCAGACTGCTGCCGTTGAGCGCTGGGCGTTGCAAGCCGTGGCAGTGAGGTCCTTCCTCAGGTCATCACTGACCGGCACCCACAAGTCGCTACACTAGCGCTGGCGGTGATCAGGGGAAGGATGGTTGGCTCGGCGGAAAATGCCCCGTCACGCATTCGCGAGAGAGGACTGCTACCCGAAAGACCAAGGGGCTGGGAACCAGTGTGTAGCGGGCCCACTACCTCTGCTGGCAATGATCACGCGCGGAAGGGGAGCACGATACAGGCTCGAGCCGCGAGAAGACTGAGCAACCGTGATGGGACAGCCTATTTTTTCATTGATGGCGTCGACGAAAAATGACCTTGATCTATCGGATTCTTCAAGGGTGGAGCCGGGGTGGGCCGGGTACATTGCACTTGGGTTCAATGACGTCACAGGGCCAGACACTCGGGCAGAGGGGTTCGGGGCGTGATGCCACCAAACCCCACTGCCCTTCTCTTTGGGGACTCCATGGTCAGCGCAAATAAGGACAGGTACGCGGTCACGCTCGGAACGGAATGGTAGTTTCCAGGACATGCGCTTGCCGATGCTACATGCATGCATGCAATTTGGGCACGCTTCTTCTTCTTCTTTGGCCTTCGAGCTGTTGCACCAGCCATTCGTTGCTGAAACGGCTGAAGAAGAGGCAGTCGAAACAGCCGAAGGTGATGGCACGGGTCGTGACATCAATCGGGGCTCAGTCCGCGATGACGCAGTAACCAGAGCCGCCATCAGGTTGATAAAGGCACTGGCAAGCTCTTCAGAGCCACATGATGACGCATTAAAACAAGGGGGGTTGACAAAATTCGTTCGCCTCCTTCGACCCAGCAACCAGGCTGGGGAGGACGTTTCTAAGGTGAGCCAGCCATGGCCAAACCTTCGAGCAAGGGGGACCTTGAGGTTTGAGCTGTCAGCTGCCCATTGGAAGCGGCTGGTGTCTTGCTTGTCTGTGCTTGTGGTGTGTTCTGTTCTGTTTGTTTGTTTATTTTTTTTTTTGCGATTGCGTTTCGTTGATTGAAAGATAATAATGTGGGACAACCAGAATGCAGGACAGGGGTGCCCCGAGCTGAGTGAAGGGGTTCATGGGCAATGCGCTGCATGCCAGCCAAACTGCCTGGCACCCACCCACAAAGTGGATTCTGGTGCCCCTCTGGTATGATATGTGGGGCAATGGTTACACGCCACCCCATGTCCACAGAGCTTGCCGTGTGCCCATGGAAGACGAAGTGACACAAACGGGCCCCGACCTTGTCCACACAAAGTGCATGGACACCGTTCACCGCCCCAGCCATCATCGTGAGCTGAGGCTTGGGCCAACAGTACAGCAGGCTCGAGCGCAGGTTTTGAGTTTACAGACCCCTGGCGTGATCAAAAGACGCAAAAAAGTACTACGCTTTGAGCAGGTATCAGAAGGCACCAGAGGGGTTAAAACGGAACAACCTAAAGTACATCAATTGTGTGGCGGGTTTGCTCGGCAAATCAGCAACAACAGACCAGTGCAGGGCTGTGGTGCAAAACACGGCAAGGCATTCGAGGCAGCTATTTGCTTTCGCCAGCTCCATCGACAACTGCTTCAGCGGTGAACTCGGGTCGGCCCCAGCCTTGAGCAGCCTGACCCGATCCAAAGTTGGCTTTTTCAGGATGAAGCAGCCGGCATGCTGGTCACGGGTGGGACCATAAGGGGCAAAAATTGATCATCTAGCAGCGTCGCGATGCGATCATTTAATCGGGTCATTTCTTCACACAGGTTACCCACGCCGCTTACGCACGTCTATGAGATGAGGAGCACACACACACACACACACACACACACACACACACACACATGCGCGCACGCACACAAACCAAATCAATGAGCGGAATGCCCGTGAAGCGCGGGGTCGGTTCACTGTAATGGCTACGCGTGTGCACCTGAAAAGTGTTCTGGCTCGCTGTCATGGCCCCGGCAGCATCTTTAAGCACGACCACGGCGCGACGCGGCACGCAGCACGTCAGATTAAGCAGACTCTGCCGCAGTCGAGCGTTGTGTCGACCTGTGAATCCCAAGCAAGGGGCACATTGCAACGTTTGAAACTCGGTTGTGGCAGAGCTCAGTACGTAAGACAGGATTGGTCACGTACACAGGTACTGCTGACGGGACACTGCCTTCCCCGTCGTCATCTCGACCTCACTGTTGCAATAATAACAACAGACACGCGACGCACAAGTCAAGCCACGGTGAGAGCAGCGCACTTTCTTCTGACTGACTAGCAAGCGCAGATGGAGGCAAGACGGTGGGTGACCCAGAGTCACGCAATTAATAAGCATGGCACTGACTCGAAGGAGGTGCGGGAAACTTCGCTTTCGTTGAGCCGACCGTCGTTACCGGTGGAGCGGCTCGTTGTCCCTGACGCGCCAGTGTGTCCTCGAGCAGCTTGCAGGGCTGCGTTGTCGTTGGTGTCCGCATGTGGCGTCGACGCCTCGGCGCCAGAGAGCTCCACGTCGCTGTCACTCTCTGGCTCTTCGCCAGTAATAACGGGGCCGGGCAGAGCAGCGCCAGATTCGACTTCATCTTCATCACTATCAGGTGCTTCGCCGGTCAGCACGCTACCAGTTGACGGTGCTGCGTGATCCTCATCCTCGTCGCTGTCAGGGGCTTCACCGGCCAGCACGTTATTGGCTGGTGGAGCCGAGGTTTGTTCCTCGAGTCCTTCATCCTCGGAAGAATCGGGCGCTTCGCCAGCCACCACGGCAACGGATTGCGCGACCGTTTCGCTGTCCGAGTCTGACTCGGGCTCCTCGCCCACAACCACATCAGCCACAACCTCATCGGCCATCTATGGCAGATGATAAACGCACGGTTGGTGAGCAATACCGAAGAGGCTTCCTCCCGACACCAAGACGCTAGCAAGCTCGACAAACACCCCTTTCAAAACACCAACGCCGCCACCGACACCGCGATCATCCCCGAGCTCGCTCACGTACCGCGTTCGGTCAGTGGCTGCACGATTTGTTCAAATGAGAGAGAGAGGGAGAGGGAGGGAGGTACCAGGTGCAGAGAGAGCCAAGCGAGGCGGAGCGCGAACCAACGAATTATAGAGGAATTTAAGAGGGATTCAGAGATTAGGCTGAAAAGGGTGATCGCTTCAGAGAATTAAATCTCCAAATCATCGCACATATTGTCAGATAATGTTTTATAAGTTTGATTAGTATCACACTTTACCTGAGGAATGTCAGACGATTGTGGTGGTGATGTTACCAAGTGGAAGGAACAATCTGCCTTGAATTGGCCATACAACTTGTTTTGAGGTTCGTGTCGTAGAAAAAGGAGTTGTTGTCGATCCTCAATAGTGTTTCTATATCTTAAAGGTGACTTTATGTCGTCATTAATATGGATATTGTAGCACTCCTTTCCTTGGCCAAGCTCTCTCATCTCATCTCTCTCTCTGCTCTCTCGCTCTCTCTCTCTCTGGCGCTCTGGCTCACGCCCAATGAGACGGCAGCCCGGTGGTCTGGCGGGAGATCTAACAGGTGTGGTTGAAGTCAAAGGTATGTTGGTTCTTGGTCCAGGGCGTGCATGGCTCTTTCCCAGGCCCCTCCATGGCATGATAGGATTTGGCGGGCGTCCCGACACGCTCTCACGCGCTCTCTTTTTTTTTTTTGGCACAGCTGGCAAGTGGGGCCTTGCCCCTGCCGTACACTCTTGAGGGGGGGCTCGACCCCGAGAGCAGCCTACCAGCATCGCCATGTTTCGTTCGAGATCCAAGGCCAAGGCTGCCGCGGCAGCTAGCGCCGATTCTCGTACAACCTCAACCTCCTCTTCATCTTCCGCCGCCAGCCGGCCGCCCGTGGCCAACTCCGCCGCCGCCCGTACCAACGGCATGCCGTCTCAAGCTGCATCCATTCCGGAAGAAAGCCTGGAGCACATCTCCGACCGTCAAGGTACGGGTCCAAGAGCACCGTGATGTCTGCGTCCCCCGGCCGTTTCCCGCGTACCCTGACTTGCGCGCGCGTTGGCTTCATTTCTCACCCGCGGCCCTCGTATTTCCCGTGTAGATCATGGCGAACATGAGGTGCAGATTCTGCACAATCTCATGCCCCTGTCCGCAGGTGTGACCCCTGTTTGTTCGAGGCGGCCACGCTCAATCCGTGCGAACCCTTGCCGTTCCTCATGTTCATCTTGTCCCCCACCCCCCGATCACAGCTTCGCCCTCGCTGCCGCGCTCCTCCAAGCCCCGCCGGCGCATGTCGGTGCACGAGGATGAGGAGGTGGCTGGAACCATGAATCTTGCCAACTCGCAAAAATTCAATTCCACGTCCACCATCTTTGTCGACTCCACCGTGAGCTCTCCCAACCTCGAGGAAACACTTCGTTGGTAAGTTGGACCGCCGAAACTTCTGATCACCCTTCACACACGCGCGCGCACAGCCAGGGGGGCCGGAAGGCTCAAGCTCACTGCCCGCCTCATCACTCTGGCGTGTACCATGCAGCGTTGCCCTTGCACTGCAGTACATCCTTCAGGACGGTCATCGTCAAGAAGCACCCAAGCTCTTTAGCGAACGCTTTGATGAAAAGCGTTTTCCACTCTCGGTGTGTTCTTTCGACCTCCTCCATTCCGCGCTCCTCATCCCTGGCTCCCTCTCCCCTCTCTCCCGCCTCTGCGTACCCGTAACCTCGGATCGCCTACCCCTGCCTGCAGGAAGCCCAAGTCCGTCGTGACTATGCCACCCGCATTCCGTCTGAAGATCGAATCTACCAGTTTTTGGCCAAGCTCTTTACCACCGCCTCCCTCACCGCAGAGTGCGGCATCATCACCCTGGTGTACATCAATCGCGTCATCACCTACACCGGCCTCGCCCTACACGCCAGCAACTGGAAGCGTGTTGCGCTCGGTGCTGTCCTCATCGCCTCCAAGTGCTGGGATGATCAAGCCGGTGCGTCTCCTGACCAAGCACCGCTCCCGACCCAACGTCGCTGCGGTGTCCAAGTGGACGCTGCCTCCATTGACTTTTGACATGACTCACTGTTGCTTGATTGTGGCCGCCAATGTGGCTTGCATTTCCATTGACAGTGTGGAATGTGGACTTTTGCAGCTTCCTTCCCCGAATCAGCATCGAAGACATGTAAGTCTGGATAACTGTCCTGAATTTGCCCGTAAGCCTCGAACGATGGTCCCTCTGATTGACCTCGTATGTGCTCGGCCTGGCATAGGAATGAGCTGGAGCGTACCTACCTCGAGATGCTGGATTTCAACATCGGTGTCGAATCGAGTGTTTACGCCAAGTACTACTTTGAGCTGCGGGACTTGGCCGAACGCTTTGACAAGGCTTTCCCGTTGGACCCGTTAGACAAGGCGACTGCCAGCCGTCTGGATGCCATGAGTACTCGCCGAGATATTGTCAAGGCCCATGCCCTTCGTGCTGCCCGCAGTCTCGACCACGACACGTTTAAAGCCCGTGCCATTCTCTCATAGCTATACGCCAACCTTCTTGAAAGCACCTCTCTGTCCCTCTTGACATTTCTGATCCACCTTCTCGAACCCTTTTTTTTTTTTTTTTTTCTGTTGCCCTGATTTTTTTTTTCTTCCTTCTTCTTTTCCCTTCTCCTCGTGTGCATTGCCACGCGCCCGTTTCGACGTGTCGGGTTGGTTCCTGTGTTTTGTTCTCCCTTTCGGCCCGGTTTGTTAATATCTGTAGTTGTCCTCTTTCAGTTCTAGTTTCGCTCGTCCACGCCCTCGATGAGGGTCCTTCGTGTCTGCAACAAGTTTGCATGACTGAATGAAACCGCATCCGTTTTGTTCTGTTTTGTTTTTCTTTCCCGAAGCTCGTTCTTGACGTCGAATCTGTTCGGTTCTTTTTCTTTTTTTTCTTTTTTTTTTCTTTTTCTTGGTTTTATTTCCCTTCTTCCTTTTGGCTTTCCGTGCTCACTGTCGCTTGCTGAATCGATGAGCAAACATTATGGGGCGTTTGGGTCAGTGCTGGTTCTGAGGGTATAAGCCCTCATGTACACACGCGTCAAGGTCAATTATCGTCGTTTAAGGATGGCCGTAAACTTGCTTCCACATGTAAAATCAAAAAGCATGAGTCCAAAGCGTACTGATCTGCCTTGTCATGAGCTTGTTGGCAATTTGACTACTTGGTGGTTTTGGCCTTTTTGATAATGGCCGCGGCCAAGCGGCCATCATCTCCCTCTTCCTTTTCGCCGGCACGAGCCTGGAGTTTGCGCAGCTTGGCCTTTTGGCGCTTGGCGCGATTTTTGGACGTCTTTCGATCAGCCTCGGCCTTGAGAGCGGCCTCCTTGACGGAAAAGGCCAGCTCGGCCGCGCGCTGTTGTGTCCCAAGAACAGGCATTGGTTGCAAGGTGACATGAGCTCGAGGTTGAGGCAAAGACTTGGGTGGAAAGACTGGAGATCGACAGCTGGAATGCCAAGCCATGGTACACACCTCCTTTTCCTTGCTATCAATGTACTCTTGACGCCGTTCCTCGCGACGACGCTCGGCGCGATACACGTGAAATTCACCACTGCCGGCACCGGCCGTTGATCCTGCAAAGGCAACAAGGTGTGACGTCGACATGAGAGTAGGCACCACAACTGACATGAAAGCAAGCTCCGCTCCTGTACTTCTGTTGCGCTGTGGCATGGCAAAGTAGCTGTACCGTGGATGTTGGGATTAAACTCGAGGATCTTTGGCGCCCGGGCATCGCGCGGCGGCTCGGGAAGCTCGTACTCCCGCTCCTGATCAACCCAAAAGGAGGAGATGGAGAGCAAGGTCAAGCAGGTGCCGGCCAACCTCCAATGTAGGACTGGCTGCCAGCCACATCATCCTCAGCCTCGTCAACAAAAGAAAAATTCCCATTCCACCAAATGGGCTGTCCTCGCAGACGGCATGCGTACGTACCGGGTGCTCCATGAGCTTGTTGACCTGCCATCGCAGACGTTCTTTCTCGTTGGCAAACTGGACAAACTCCTTCTTGGGTCGCTCGACCTGCTTCTTTGGGTTTAAATGCTTTTCCAAATTGAGACTCATCTCACCGATTCAGCCCCGCTCAACGCGACACGGCTACTTGCTCTCTAAACCACCGACTTGAAACAACAGACAAGCGCTTCAGCACACTGACGGGGGCAACACTGGCCGGTCCCGGGTCCCCCACGAATCAGCAAGAAATGAAAAAAAATATCTCACACACACACACACACACACACACACACACACACACATACATACACAAGGTGCAAAGGAATCTGTGACCAAATCTACACTTACAGGTTTCTGATGCTTTTTCATATGTAAAATACTTCCCCCCCTCTCTCTCTCTTTGTGACATTTTGTCTGACAAAAGTGCTGCTGGTGCTGCTTGCCTCAAGACGGTGGTGGCGGAGAAGGAGCGTACTGATCGTGCCGGGGAGGGGAAGGGGGATCTCCCGGTGTTTTTTTTTTTTTTTTTTTTGTGATTGCTGTGGATCTGGCGGGATTGGAGGGGCGGGGGCGGGGGCGGGGGGTTGCTTAGTGGTGGTCACACGGTGATTGGGAGTGGGGCAGCATGGCTTTTAAAGACTTGATCAATCACTCGTGGCAGGCTGAACCGCAAAAGCTGCTTCGCGATGCGCCCAACACCACCCGTTCTTCGGCTCAGCTCTGGCTGGCCAAGAGCCTCAACGCCGTTTGTGCCAACAAAGACGGCACTTACGCCATCGTGGGTGGCCGCGAAAGTGCGTAGCAAGGCTTGATTCAAGCTACATCATGGCCACATGAGCACATGAACCTACACGCTTCCTCGCTTGCCCAGTGTCCGATCTTGGTCTGCATGAGCGCTTGCGCTTGCTGTCCTCAACCCCCCTTATCTGCCTCCGCAGTTTTGCAGTTGATCACCTATGATGCCAACGCCAATGAGCTCCTGGTGAAGAACAACCTGCGCCGTGGTCGCTCCAACTTGGACCATAGCTGTAACGACATTGCCTGGCAGACCATTGGCAGTACGTGGGCCTGCTTGGCTCGCACTCACGGCACCGCTCGGGCAGATTGTGCCAAAATGTCATCTCAGCCTGCTTTCCGCCCCTGCCATAGGCGAACATGTTGCCACCGGTGCCGCCAGTGGCTCTGTCGTCCTCTGGGATGTAAACATAGCCGAGAAAGGCCCAATCAACGTCAGTCATGCCTCTTTCTCTGGGCATGTTTGCTGCCTAGGCATCCAGCTTACAAAACCTCCCCGCGCACACACACACACACACTTGACCAACCATGTATCGGAACGCTGCTTTCATGGCACCCTTAGCGAACGGTACTTGAGGCGCAAGGCCGTGCCATCAACACGGTTACTTTTTCGCCGACGCGAGCCACAGAGCTGCTGGCGGGTGGTCAGGGCGGCATTTGCACGCTCTGGGACATTCGTGGCCCCAGCGCCAGCGCGGCTTTCAAAACCAGAGATCCCATTCGCAAGGTATGGCCCTCCTGTGCTGTGATGCACCATCTCCCATGCATTCTGTTGTCAACGATCTCTCAACATACCAATCCACTTTCAATCGTCTTTGACAACGTCGAATTAACCATGTCTGCGCTCTTGACAAACGGCGGCCTGAATCATTGCGCCTATCCTGTCACTTGCCTCTGGTATCCTTCACCTACCTCTGGCTAGCTTGCTTACTCGCCCAGCACGGACGGTGTGCATTTTGCGGCTGCTCTCGAGTCGGGTGAGGTACACATATTTGATGTGCGTCAAGAACGGCCGCTCCACCGCTTCAAGTCACATCAAGGCCCCTGCTACGCCGTGGCCTGGCATCCTACTACCAAGGGTCGCCTAGCAAGCGGTGGTCGTGACCAAAGCATTCGCATCCTGTCCGTATCTACTGCCCCCGCCTTCTTCTCTCAGAGCTCTGCTTGTCGTGCCGCCCCACACTACAGCCTCTCGCTCATTTTTGATTGCTTGCGGCGTCTTTTGACGTGATGAGCAGGGACGTGGAAAACCCAACCTCGTATGATCGGCGCCTCTTCAGCATCGCATCGGTCCAGCAGGTTCTGTGGCGCCCCCTTTTCAAGGATCATCTAGCCAGGTGCGCCGCCTGCTCGTCCGTCTGGCTGCGACAACCGTTCCAAGCCAGCAAATGCAACGGTCTGACCGGCATGTTGCCGCTGTAGTTGTGCCTTCATCAATGACCCGATCATCAATGTCTGGAACCTGAGTCGCCCCTACTTTCCCACTCTACAACTCCATCGGCCACGAGACATGCGGCCCACCCCAAGCACCCCAGCCGCTGCGGCCTCGATTGGCGAGCCCGTGTCTGGTTTCCTCTGGGGTCAAGATGGACGTGATGTCATGCTGGCATGCTACAAGGCAAGTGCAAGAGCATTCCCTCTTTTCGCCGCAGACTTGCGCCCTCTTACCCTCAGGCCTTTCGCCGCTCCCTGTTCACTCATCATGCTTGTTGGAATGCTAGGATGGCTTGGTCGTTCGCCATTCCATTTCCAGCGGCTACGAACCTCGCCATGAGCTGGAAGCGCAGTGCGCTGGCTTTGCCTGGGGCGCAGATCTAGCCTTTGCTACCTTCAAGTACGGTCCTTCCTGCGAGCTAATAATAGCCCAAATACCCGTGCCAGAATATCAGAGCCAATAAAGACAAACGATTCGATCGCAGGCTCACGTTTATCTGCCATCATTATCTCTGGTTCTGTGCACTTTGGGCCGTGCAGAGGTAATCAACCGGCTGCGGCCGCCGCAGCCAAGTCCACGGTGAAGCGACGCTCCCTCTTGCGTGACCGCGTGACTGTTGCCGACACCACCCCTAAACAAATGGCGGAAAGCATGATTGAGGTCACAGTCCCCGTTCCACCCGAGACGGCCCCGCCCCCGGCAACCATGCGCCCATCAGCAACATCGTCATCGCATGCCGTTCCCGCCAATGCCAAAGCGGCCAGCAGTCAGCGCCACGCTCACAGCCAAAACAAAAATGGCTCTCAGTCTTCGCTACACCCAACCTCGGACAAGCCTAACAGACTGGGCTGCTTGGAAATGTCGCAAGCTGCCCAGAAACTCCTGTTGTCTGAGCAGGAGCGCTTGGCTGCCCTACGCTACCTCGCGTGCAACTACGTGCTGAAGGGCTACGAGCGCCGGGAACTTTGCAAACGAAACGCTGCCGTGGCGCGTGCGGTGGAGCGCGAGGATCTCGCTTTGGTAGGTTTTTGATCTGAAGCCAATAACCAACGTTTGACCAGACCGGGATAATCTCCATCTTCTTGAAAAGTGCCGCTTACAATGTCGTCTACCGTTGCAACAGACGTGGGAGGCCTTGGCTGCTTGCTTGCTCGTAACAGCTGTATCACCTCCGCGTCAATCCTCGATGGCCAATTTGAATTCCACCAGGTACACTGGTATCGGCAGTTCTCTTCATGGCGCGTTGGCACTGTACCGAGCTTGTCATCGCGCCTCACGCCTGCTCCGCTGGCGCCTCACTGTTCTCAACCAACATCTAGCGCTGCCCCAACAGCTCCCACAGAGCAACCTCGCGAGCCCGAGCAAGCAAATCCAACGATGCTCCACGAGGCTGAGTCATCGCGAGACATTGTTGTGTCTGACCTGAAAGAGGAGGTTTGTTTTTAGCGATGACCACGTGCTCCTGTCGCTGCACGCGACTGTGTTTGCCTTGTCTTGGCTCTATGCGTAACAGGATTCTCCATTTAGGCGTTTGGAAGGAGGCAATATCTGGCAGCAGAAGATGAGTCTTCGGGTGGAGAAGAGGAATCACTCCCTCAAGCGGCACACGAATTTTTCTGTACGTCTGTTGCCTTCAATCCTCTCCGGCGCATGCCCAATCACTATCACATCCTCAAGCCTTGGTGACATCTCGTTCGTAGCGGGTTCCGAGGGCTTTTTTGTGCCAGAAATTCTAGCGCGCAACACGGGATCGCGCATTGTCAACCACAACGAAGTGCAGCAAGACTTTCCTGTTGGGTCCATTTTATCCGCGACGTTATGCTTCTATGCGGACCAGGGTGACGTGCAAATGTGCGTTTGAGCCGAGATTCCGAGGCAGCTGCGTTGAAGTGAAGCTCGTGCGATCAAAACAAAAGCCCCCAGAGTCATTTCTTTTCTTTTCTTTTTTTTTTTTTCTTTTTTTGTTTTTTTGGTCCTTGTACTACTAGGTGCTCCCACCTGTTGGTTGTTTTTGGCAACCAGGTGGATGAAGGCTTTGAACCAGCTTTGCAACGACAATGCATCATGGCTTATGGTGAACAGTTGATGCAGTTGGGCATGTCTCTTCAGAGGTCAGTATCTGGCACAACTGGAATCGCATCCATTATCAGACCGGATGCACATCTGGTCATCAGCTTGCATATACCTGACTGAGGCATGCAATGGGTGGCACGCGAGATAGGACGGCGATCCTCAAGGCCAGCACGCTAGAGGAGCTACGCGATCTCAATCCCCCCGCCATGGGCCAGGAGTGCTTGACCTGCGTCGGCCCCAAGGGCGCCACTACCATCCCAGCTGGCGGTGTCTGTCCGCTCTGTCGGCTTCCTTGTACGGTGATGCTTCCTTGAACTCGATTCCGAAGCGGGCAACGCAGGCATGCTCGAGTCATGGTCTTGATTGCCACTTTGCTCATTGCATGCATGCTTCTTGCAGCCATCTGTGCCATTTGCCACCAGGTCGTCCGAGGCATTGCCAGCTGGTGCCAAGTAAGTTTTGATCAGCAACTACTCGTGGCGCAGATTGCAGCAAGAATATCAAACGCTGGCTCACGCACACCCAACTGGTCGTGCTTTCTGCAGGCCTGTGCCCACGGTGGCCATCAAGAGTGCATGCGAGAATGGTTTGCGAAGGAAAATTTTTGTCCAACGGGCTGCAATCATTGCTGCCGGCCTGACCTCATCAACGATCGGGTGGCTATGGCCTGAGAGCCGTGTTTGTCTGCTGCGGGCGGGAGGAAGGACCTTAGATGTCGAGGCCCAGTTGCCAGTTGTCAATGTATGCGTTCGAATTCAAGATCACATGGTAGTTTTCACTGTCGACCAAACGGAATGACAAGCATGTTGGTAAAACAAAGCAAGATGGTTCATTCGTCGGCTAATATACATTAAGACTGGGCGTTTTCGACACTGCACGCAGAATACCGCTGCATTTCTGAGTCAATTTCAATTTCGTATCCTTTTCAAGCAGCAACAAAATGGAATGTCAAAGCCAGATACGAAATCCCCAGTGACATACCCAAGCGTCCCGTTTATGAAATTGACATGTGAATAATTTTTTCATATTGATGCCTTGCTTGTGGCCGACGATGGCGCATGGATGTACATGACGCGTGCGCTCGCTCCCTCTGGTCACGGCACCTGGCGGATGCATCCAATTTTCAAAGGTCAAAAGTGAATTCAGATTAAATTTGAAAATTTGGTTGTTTAAATTGGATGTGCACTCTTGTCATTTGCACCTTGCACGAAATGTCCACGCGAGAGAAGGCTTAATGGGCTGATGGGTAATAATATCACTCGGACGCGCCCGAACGCGATGGTGGTTGCAAGTACGATGAATCGAGGATGCTAGTTGCTCGAATTATGCCTCAGTTTCTTCTTCAGACATCTCTATCCGGACGCGAGAATCCATGTGACTCATGGTTGTGGAGTGGGCGGTCATCTCTCCGTGTGCTGCCTGGGTCATGGCCTGGCGTTCGGAAGCCGTCTTTGTGCCGTACTGCTCAACAAATTGTCGCAGTGCTGGGAGGAGCGAGGTTGGCGCCTAACATTGATGTGCAAACGAAAACAAGAAAATTATCTCAAAATTCCAGAAAAAAAGAAAAGAAAAGAAAGAAAGTAAAACACAACACAACAACAACCGAGAAAGGATCGACAAAGGAGAGAGCGCATGACACCAAGCACTTGGCACGGCGACCAAGAACCGGCGAAACAGGAGGATGACCGGCCTTACCTCGGCCAGGGCAGGAATGTCACGCTGGTCTTGAAGTCCAGATTGGTGACACAAATAGGCCAGCTGGTCAATGTCGATGCATTGCTGAGCAAAACGTTCGTAGAGGGCCAGATGGGCGGCAGCCTCGGTTTTGCTCATTTTGAAGAAGCGCTCTAAACGGAAAAGTGGTATTGACACCATGAGAATGACTATCACGGGCTGACAAGGAGACGGCTAAAGACGCGTGAGGCTATGCGAGCATTCGTACCAAGAACATTGAGCATGGCGTCATTTTGGCAGACGAACAGTCGCATGCTGTCGTTAAAGCACAGGCGAAAAACTTCTTGCAGAATAACATCCTGAAGGAGCTGGGATTGCGGCACGGGAGCAGGGATGGGTGTCCGACCCTCAATGCCTCGAGAAGCTCGAAGAATGTCGAGTAGAGCCTCGGTTAGTGTTTGTAGGGTTTGCACCGTCCCGGGGAGCTATACATGGTAGGGGGTTGATGATGGTGGCAGCAATGAGCGAGTCAACGGGCATGGTCTCGATCAGCGGGCCAGGTGCAGATGGAGGTGGAGGAGTCGGGGAAACCCGTGACACTGTGGTGTGTGATCGGCACCTGACATACCGCATCCGTTTTGTCAGTGTGATAGAAGGATGTCTTGTTTCTGTAAGTGAATGCATGAGCCCACGTGATAAGCATGGCAGGATAGGGCTTGGAGAGCCAGACGGAGAAGCCAGCTGGTCGGCAGTTTTGCACGAGCACGCCCCTCAGGCTATGGGCTGCAGTGCTCTGGGGCTGGGGGCGGGGCCAAGCGAAACGAGATCTCACCCAGTGCGTGCATGGCAAACGTCGTAGCCCATCTTTTGCTGAGCTTGCAGCTTAGCACGTATGTACTTGGCATAAAAGCGCACCATTAGGCTGAAAGCCTCGCCGAATGGGGCCTTGGTGTCGTGAAAATCATCCAGCTCGAGATGAGTCGCGCGCGTCACAAAGCAATTTGAGGTACGCTGCGAGCAAGTTGGAACCCGACACAGGAGATGCATGAGCTTGCTTCAAGACGCCAATTGTTGAGGACAGTCTTGGGTCGGGAGGGGGGCTGGTGACGGGCGAGGCAAGGGGGCGGGGCTGACCTCATGACCATCACGAAGGAGGTGGTGGATGACAAGCAGGGTTTTGGCCACGACGATCCAGTTGGTGGTAGAACTGGCACGCTTGATGAGGGCGTCAACAATGTCGTTGGGTGGTACGTCGCTGCGGAACGACAGCAGCAGCAGTGCTGCCACCACAAGGTCGTGTGACACAGAGCGCACCATCGAGTGAGTGTGGGCGCGCGAGCGGATCTCGGTCAGTCAACATCGATCACTGACCCTTGACGTGCTTGATCTTTGGAGCCGCGTAGGTAGAGTCTGTTGCCTTGATAACGGCGCGATCCCATGCATTATCCGTCACAGCGGCTGCCATCTTCTCCCGAAAGGAGCGGCCCCTCGCCCCAGTCGACTGTCGTCGCGCCGCCATTTTGCTCACAGGAGAGAGAGAGAGAAGAGAGAGAAGAGAGAGAAGAGAGAGCAAATGCGCGTCACTTGAATAAAAAGGGGTTAATTAGAAATATCGTCACAGGCTTCGCTACATCAAAATACTTGTCTGACAATTTGGACTGACGCAGTTAAATCAGCACAGGTAGCTCATGATCACTGAGCTGTGTGTGTGTGTGTGTGTGTGTGTGTGTGTGTGTGTGTGTGTGTGTGTGTGTGTGGCGTTACGTGAGCGTGAATGAAAGGGCAGCGGGGAGTAACAGCGGATGGCAGCGGGACGGGAGGGCAGCGGGGCGCGACGGACAGGGTGAATTAGATGAGCATTGGACGGAGAGGCAACGTGCTGCATATATCCCTGCTCTCATATGATGTCTTGGCGCTGGGTGACTTGCCAGCCAAGGCGAGGCGACGACGTCAGGGAGACGAGAGCAGGCAAGCCATTTTTTTTCCGTTTCGACGAGGTGACGTGAGCCAGGACCTCTCAGATTCGCGGCGACCACACGTATTACGGCGCTCGTTGCCCACCGAAAGAGCTCCCATTCTCTTTTTGCAGTCTCTTTCTGGTGTGGTCGTGTTTGTCTTTGCTTTGAGTGCGTCTGCCGGTTGAGAAGTGTGGACGCCATCGAACAGCATCATGGATAAGCAAATGTTTAATCTAAAGGTCAGCTGTCTTGCGCGGCGCCTTCTGTGACCCGATGTTCCACCAGTGGCCAAGGATCTCATCATCGTTCCTCCTGGTCTCGCCTCTCTTACGTTTCTCTGATTTTGGTTCCGTTAGCTGGCGGTCAAGCAGCTAGAGCGCATGGCCAAGAAGGCGGAGAAGGATGAAAAGTCGGAGCGCACCAAGATCAAAAAGGCAAGCGAGCAGATGTCATCCGGCTTGCTGGGCGTATGCTTTGTACATTGGCGCTTCAGGGATCGTGTGCCTCATGGACTCGGCGCGGGCTGGCATCAACCCCTATAGGCCATGGAGAAGGGCAATCAAGAGAATGCCCGCATTCATGCCGAAAACGCGATTCGCAACCACAATCAGCACACCCAGTTTCTGCGCATGTCCGCGCGTGTTGATGCCGTGGTGCAGCGCGTACAGACAGCCATCACCATGCAAAAAGTGTCCGTTTCCATGAAGGGCGTCGTTAAGAGCATGGACCGTGCCATGAGCGCCATGAATCTCACGCAGGTTTGTCGAGTCGCCCCACCCACCTTTGCGCGCGTTGCAAGCACACAACTGCGCCCTCCAGAGGGTCACGTTGCAAGTCGTGGGCATCGTGGCTGTGCATGGACATATCCACACTGAAACTCACCCATCTGCGGCTGGGGTCTGGTTGGGTGAATGTAGCTGAGTCAACTGATGGAGAAGTTTGAACAGGTGCGTGTGCTCGTGTGCCAACTCGGCTGTGTTCGTGCCATTGGTCCGGTGCCCTCTCCCTCACCACATGGGCGTCACTCTGCGTAGCAATTCGAGGACCTTGATGTTCAAACGGCCGTTATGGACGGTGCCATGTCCTCCACCACTGCACAATCCATGCCTCCGGTAAGCATTTGTTTGCCCGTGCCGTTTGTGTGAGGAGTTATGGTGGGGCATGCCCGAACCGAGTGTGGTAGAAACTTGGTATCTGACGTCTCTTGAACGCGTCTGTCCCGCTTTGACCTTTTTGCTGGAAAACAGGATCAAGTGGATGCGCTGATCAATCAAGTCGCCGATGAGCATGGGCTCGAGCTTGGAGAAGCATTGGGGTCAGCGCCCACCGCTGCCCAGCAAGCTGCCGCCGAACAGGTTCGCATGACATTGCCATTTTGCCGACTCGTGCTCGCACCCACCATTTGAGTCTTGCTTGGATGCGTCTTTTGTGCGCACACGTCCTCAACGCACATACACGCTCGCCTGCTGTGTTTTTAATAGGACGACCTCTCCCAGCGACTGGCGCGCTTGCGCGAACAGTGATTGCATGCTGGCTCTCCTGTTCTTCATCCATGGTCAAATGTCTTTCCCACCTTTGTTCTGTTACCGGTGCATCCCGGCTTGTGTGCCGTGTGCTATCAAGGGTTGCTCGGATCACACCGACCAGCCCAGTGCCTGCCCCTTAAGCTCCTCCTAATCCATCCAAGATGGCTCCACCAGCTTGTCAGCCTTTTCATCCAGCTTACAAGCAAAACCCCATCTCATCCAATTACCGTGTTACATGTGGACACTGCTCAGCCGTTACGCATCCATCGTTACCAAATGTCAGATTTAGTTCGAACCGAAAACAGGTGTCAACACATGTTGTGTTTAACCTTGTGGTGGCACTTCTGGTTGAGAGCCGGCGCTGAGTCTCTCTCTCTCTCTCGGTGCGGCGCACACTGACTGACCTTGACCTGACTGGTGATGGGGGGGGAGACGGGTGGGCTGGGGAGGGGTCAGGGGGAGGTGTGTGTGCGCGTGTGCGCGTGTGCGCGTGTGTGAGATTGGGGCGGGGAATGGAAGGGGAGGGGGAAAATGCAGCACGGATCGTGCAGATAAAGTGAATGGCTTGCTTGATGCCATCTGATGGCTCACCCTCGTGTCTCATCTCATGGCCCTCTTCTTCTTTTTTTTTTCTCGTGTGCAGCAAGTGTAGGCTTGTGCTTGGTTGAGGGTGGGCGTTGTGACACGCTTGCTAAGCTGCGCACTCTTTTATTGCTCCAACACTTTCTCCAGCTCACGCCACGGCGATCAGTTCCGTGGAGGGTTTCATCAAGATAGCCGCATTTCGACCGAACGTACGTCAACGTTCTTGTCCCGTACACGCGCGCCGAGGCGCCCCCTAGCCAGGACCAGAGTGTGGCGCGCCTTGTTGCTTGTGCTCAAGGCTCGTTTGCTTGTGCTTCATGCCTCGTCTGCTCTAGTCGCTGGCCTGAAATCGCCACCATGGACAACGACCTGTATGATGAGTTTGGCAACTACATCGGTCCCGATCTGGACTCGGACGATGAGGTCGAGGAACTTCCCGATGAGGAGCACTTCCAAGAGGCTCGCACCCACGCCATGATGGTTCGTACTCACACAAGCGCAGTCCTGACAGGCCAATCACACTTGTCTTTCGTGGTTGGTGTGTGTCGATGCGAGTGGCGCGAGTGTGTCAGCCTTACGATCTCGCTCTGTCCACGGCAGGATGACGATGAGGACGATGAGGCCAGCGCGCAGATCCCCGAGGCGACTGGCATGGATCAAGAGCCAGATGTGTCAGCCAGTCAAGCCATCGTGCTGCATGAGGACAAAAAGTATTATCCAACCGCCGAAGAGGTTTACGGCCCTGATGTGGAAACCGTCGTTCAGACCGAGGATGCACAAATGCTCTCAGAGCCCATTGTGGCACCCGTGCGCAAGGTCGCTCACACACAGCTCGAAGATGAGCTTCCAGCTACCGTCTATGAGAAGGAGTGCGTTTCGACTTTTGCTTTGCAGCGTTTTTTCCCCCTTGCCCTCCCCTATTCTTTTGAGTTTGCGGCCAGCGCGCATCCTCATGGCTTCCCCGCCATGGTCTCCGGTCTGCTGTATCGTCACCTGACTTTGGACTTCTTGCCATTCCTTCCCGCGTAACCATCCCATCCAAAAAAAAAGGTTTTTGGCCCGCATGATGGAAACACCAGAACTGACGCGCAACGTCGCCTTTGTTGGACATCTCCACTCTGGTAAATCGACCCTCCTGGATATGCTCATTGAGGAGACCCACGAGGTGGAATGGGGTCCGGAAGCCACCACCAAGCCCATTCGCTACGGCGGTACGTGCTTGACTATGCTCTTGTGCCACAAGGAGCTATTTTTCTTTTGTTTTCGTCCTATACCGCGCTAAGACCGCTGCCCGGTGCTTGTGCTCACAACACGCGGCCGTGTAGACATGCTGTTCACCGAGCAGGAGCGTGGTTTGTCCATCAAAAGCACGCCCATGACGTTTGTACTGCCAGATACACGTGGCAAATCACATCTGGTCAACGTCATGGACACGCCAGGCCACGTGGATTTTATCGATGAGGTGACCGCTGCGGTGCGCCTGGCCGATGGCGTCGTGGTCGTTGTTGATGCCGTCGAAGGCGTCATGCTCAACACGCATCGGGTCATCAAACAAGCCGCACTGGCCCGAGTGCCCATCACCCTCATCATCAACAAGGTCGATCGCCTCATCCTTGAGCTCAAGCTGCCCCCTGCCGACGCCTACCACAAGCTCAAGCACACCCTTGACGAGGTCAACAGCATCGTCATGACGTATAGCGAGGGTCTCGAAGACGTTGCCTTATCCCCTCTCAAGGTCCGAGTCCTTTTCAGACCCCGTACACCCCCGGATTTCTTTCGAGCCTTCAATCTTGCATTGGCGCCACGGCATCGGTCCATGGCCCACACAGCCTTGACCTCCCTTCTGACTCGCTTTTCCAGCTCACGGGGTGATTTGATTTTGCGCCTGTCCTACGTTGTCCGGGCTTGTTGCATGCTGGGCCTTGCGATAGGGTAACGTGTGTTTTGCCAGTGGTCTGTATGGATTCTGTTTCAACTTGTTCTCCTTTAGCAAGCTCTACCAGGAGCACTATGCCGCCGATTTCAATCCCATTGCTCTGGCGCAACGGTTATGGGGTGACCTGTGGTTCAACGAGGAAACTCGTTCCTTCGTCCGCAAGCCACCCAACAGCAAATCCAACCGCTCCTTTGTACAATTTATCCTCGAGCCCATGTACAAGCTCATGGGACAGGTGTGTTTTTGTTTGCCACGAGCTCGCCGCCGTTGCGCCGTGCAGAACACGTCTTTTTCTCATTCGCATCGTACCATGCTTCAAAATTAAACTCCATTTTTTTTGGTTTTGAATAGGTTGTCGGAGACGTTGATGGTTCTCTGGAATCCACCCTGCGGGATGTTGGCATCTCACTTAGCCACGAGGAGCGCAAACTCAACATCCGCCCTTTGCTCAAGGTCGTTTGCCGCCGCTTTTATGGCGAGTCTCTGGGCTTTACTGACATGCTCCGTGACTTTGTCCCTTCGCCCGTGGCCAATGCTCCACGCAAGGTGCGTGATCGATGCCCTGCTTGCAAATACAGAAGACTGGTCTCGTCACACGCTCCTGTCGTCGGGTCCTCGGAGATTCCCAATCAATGGCTGTCGTTGGCCAAGCACCCAGACAAGCTTGTCTAAGAGCTTGTTCCTCATACCGGCCTGCATTCGTACATCAACTTTCTGTGCTCCCCGTTGCAGGTGGAGCTCAACTACTCAGGGCCTTTGAGCGAGGACGATGAGCTGGCTCGTGCTATGATGACGTGCGACCCCAAGGGCCCGCTCATGGTCAACATCACCAAGTTGCTGGTTTCGCAGGACGGCTCACGTTTCGATGCCTTTGGTCGGGTCATGAGTGGTACCCTCGAGGCACACACAGATGTCAAGGTGGGCCAGCGCCTGTGCTCGATTTGTTTATGGTCACTACCCCTGTGTTCTGGTCTTTCGCTTTGAGGGCGGCAGGAGCTGTTTGTATGCGCCTCTGCACCTCAAGGTTCCAGCAGGGCAGCTCATGGATCATGTGCCCATGTCACTGTCTAGGTGTTGGGAGAGAACTACACGGTCGACGACCCGGAGGATTCTTGCATCGAGCGCATTTCCCACTTGTATGTGTCAGAGGCTCGCTACCGCATCGAGGTCAACCGGGTGCCTGCCGGCAACTGGGTGCTGATCCAAGGCATCGACGCACCCATCAACAAGACGGCCACCTTGACTGATGCAAAGAGCGACGATGATGTACATATCTTCCGCCCACTCAGTTTTGATACCACCGCACCGATCAAGATTGCCGTGGAACCCGTCAACCCATCAGAGCTGCCCAAGATGACGGATGGCCTGCGTAAAATCAACAAGAGCTATCCGCTCGTTACCACTCGGGTCGAAGAGTCGGGTGAGCACGTGATTATGGGTACTGGCGAGCTCTACCTGGACTGCATCATGCATGATCTTCGCAAGATGTACGCAGAGATTGACATCAAGGTCGCTGACCCCAGCGTGGGTTTCTGCGAGACGGTTGTGGAGACCTCCACTCTCAAGTGCTTCGCCGAGACTCCCAACCAGCGCAACAAGCTGACCATGGTTGCCGAGCCGCTTGATCGCGGCCTGGCCGAAGACATTGAGAACAAAATTGTTTCCCTTGACTGGCCCAAGAAGAAAGTCAGTGAATTTTTCAAGACCAAGTACGAGTGGGACGTTCTGGCAGCCCGCTCCATCTGGTCGTTTGGTCCCACGAGCAACGGCCCCAACGTACTCCAAGACGACACGCTGCCGGCTGAAGTGGACAAAAAGCTTCTGTTTTCCGTTCGCAGTTCCATTGTCCAGGGCTTTCAATGGGCTTCGCGTGAGGGCCCACTTTGCGATGAGCCCATGCGCAACTGCAAGTTCAAACTCTTGGACGCACAAATTGCTGAGACGCCCATCCAGCGCAGTGGTGGTCAAATTATCCCCACTGCGCGCCGCGTCGCTTACTCGGCCTTTTTGATGGCCACCCCCCGCTTGATGGAACCTTACAACTTTGTTGAAATTCAAGCCCCCGCCGATTGCGTGGCTGCCATTTACAACGTCCTGCCCCGTCGTCGTGGTCATGTCACTGAGGAGAGCCCCAAGCCTGGCAGCCCTCTCTACACCATCAAGGTATGGATCAATCGGTTCCTTATTCGGCATGCCTTCACACTTGTTCGGTCGCTTGTCAATGTCATGTTCCTTGCTTATTTATTTCATGTTGATCGTGTTCTCGCGCAGGCCTTGATTCCTACCATTGATTCATTTGGGTTTGAGACGGACTTGCGCATGCACACCCAAGGTCAAGCCTTTGCTTTGTCTGTCTTTGATCACTGGCAGATTGTTTCCGGGGATCCCTTGGACAAGTCGGTTGTGATTCAGCCCTTGCAGCCCTCGCCTGCCCCGCATCTGGCGCGCGATTTTATGATCAAGACGCGTCGTCGCAAGGGTCTTTCCGAGGACGTCAGCATCAACAAGTTTTTCGACGACCCCATGCTCCTCGAGCTGGCCCGAGAAAATGTTGTGCTCGGAGACAGCTATTAATCAACTGGGCTTGCCGTCCCGCAAACACGAGTACAGAGAAGCCAACCACCAAACATAAGAGGGCTTCCAACCGCTGCTGCAAGTAGCCGACAGCAGGCGGACGGATCCAACGACGAGCTGGCTCGCATTGTGGTTTTTCAACACGACCTCGTGGGGAGTATCAGCCCGCCGAGGCGTGAAGAGGTGATGATGAGGGAAACGAGAAGAAAAAAATTTAAATAAAAAATTGAACAAAAGTGAAACAACCCGTTTTATTGATCACGCGAAGAATGTTGGGCCACTACGCGTCTTTCGGCAAAATTCACGTCAGAGCATACATTGGACTTTGTGGGTCGTGTCTTTCCGATTATAGTTTGGGCATGCCAAGCATGGCCCGCGAAAACTTCATCAGGGGTTGCAGATGCTCTTGTACCGCGCGAGTGACCTGTACCGCAAGAGGCAAGCGAAATGAGTACTTGCAACCCTTCTTTGAGAGATCTTCTCTTTGAGGGGGTTTTTTTTTCTCTTGTTTGTATGTTCCAGGCAGCATACCGGCGTAGCATTGAGAGTGCTCTTTTGAGCGGCAGCGTAAAGAGCTTCGTACACTTGTCCTGGCACACGAGTCATCGCATCAGAAACCAAGTTAGAAAAAAAATAAAAAAGCAAACAGACAACCAAAGGCAACACCACCATCGATGGCTCGACGCCAAAGCACGTGACCAACCATCATAGCGCCCCAGGGCACTGTTCAGGAAGTGATCCGACAGGTCAAAGGCATCCACAAGGGCTACAGCGTCGCGCCGTACCACTGCCAACAGCTTTGTGACCTAAAGGATGACGGTTTCATCGTCAGAGGCACGTTGTGTCGCCTGCTGATGGTGGCATCAACATTGCAGTTGGCCGTCACACGTACAGCCGTGCTCAAGTGCTGAACATCCATGGCAGACAAAAGGTTTGCCAGCTGCAGTGCTGGGGCCTGTGCCTGGATCAACTTGAGGGCCAGCAGGGAGCGCAAGCTTTCCAGCGCACGCCGAGCGGTGTCGGCGATACTAGGTGTTGCAATGCCACCCTCCAGGAGTCGAAGCATCACAACCTATCGACCATCCGCCACGCATGATATTGTCAGCATGCTTGCATGCTCAAGCTTGGCACCTTGGGCGGTGGCAGGGGTGTCAGGGTGGCTGACCTGACTGTGCTCGAGCGCAGCCGCGGAAAGTGGCTCGGCCGCGTTATTCCAAGCCTTGCCTTTGGAGGTACTGCCCAACTGCCGGTCAAGTTCACGCACGGCGGCCGCCAATGACCTACAGAGGCAGTCGCAGACACAAACACTTGAGATGCCGAGCCGCTCTCATGACGAGGCCCACAAATTCGTTTGACGCACAGGCAAGCCTTGGCCTCCAAGACGCGGCTTTGAATCTTCCAGTGCAACCAGGCATCCTATAGGAAATGAGAGCATCCGAATGTGAGTTCCCACACGTGGTGGCGATCATGGTCGGTCAGTCCCACAAGCAAAAAATGGCTCACGCACCGGGCCATCCAGGTTGAGTGGTTTAGAAGTGTGACTCGGCTTTGTAGCTTGGCCAATGTAGGACATCTCCGGAGCCAAGTTGCGGCCTTTGGCGGCTTGGCGAAAACATTTGACCAGGTAGCGCGCACACTGCAGCTTCATCACATTGTTCTCCCCTTCATAAGTGCAAGCAGGCACGTAATCCTGATAAAAGTCAGGCAAGCCTGAAAAGCGCGAATAGCCGTGTCCACCGCAGGCTTTTCGGCATGTCTAGGCCACAGACCGCGAGGAAAAAGAAGGATATGAGAGGGGCTATGAACGTTCTTGATGCGCGCAGATGATCTCTGTCATCTGCAAGCCAAACGATTGTCTCACCTCGAGTCCCTCAGAGGCAATGGTGGTCACCAGGGCCTTCAACCCCGTGGTGGTGCCGTGGACGTACTCAAGCATGGAAAGATCAGCGCGGTTGAGCGACGCCTGCATATTCAACGTCATCCACGCATGAGAGCGGCACTCATGCTTCGTGTTATGACTGATGAACCCGGCTCACCTGAAGGTCTTGGTACATCTTGATCAAGTGTTGGCCAGCGAAATGGCAGGCGTACGCCCAACCGAGGAGGGGAAATAGCTGTTGCTGCGAGCTATTGTAATCCAACACTTGCGTCTCTTTCGAAGCCGTTTCCTCAAGCAGCGATTGACGTCGCACAACTCCATAGCGAATGGCAATCTATTGTGGGATGCAAAGTCATTCGCACAGGTTTGATGTCTGTCACACACCTTTCCAGGAAGGATGCGCTCGCGATACAAACCGTCGTGGCAGCCTGGAGATGGCGCGCGGCATCTGAGATCATGACACTATATGACGATCAGGGACACACAGTGCCGTCCCACATGAGATCATGCCGCGGTGTCACAAGCTCTACAGCACACGGTCCATCATGGCCTGGCTGACCTGCGCACGTAAATCATCGTCCCGTAGCTTAGCTTGGTGTTTGGGGGCCGAGTGTATGCACCGCTTTCGGACACCTGTGCAAAATCGTCCGGGCGTTCGGGCGACCACACGTGAATCCAGACTGGGGATGGCTTGGGGTCCTGAGAGCGACGTGGTCGCGCGATCGTGACGGAGGTAGCAAGAGGCGCAGACCTGAGCAAACTTCATCAGCATCTGATCGCGAGGGATGCGGACGTGGTCCAACTTCAAAAAGCCGTTGTCCATCGAGTCATATCCCAGCTTGGGACCAATGTCCCCCACGGAGACGCCCGGTAGCGGCTAGTGCAGGCGTGCCCGAAACACATTTTGTTGAGTCATCTACGTGGACAAAACCTTCTGCCGGAGGAGAAGAGGGTGTACCTTGTGCGAATCAAGGTCTCGAATCTGTACGATAAAGGCATGGGGTCCATGATCCTGGCCTTGCGTGAGAAGACGAGCCATGACGACGCAATGTGTGGCCGATGTGCCCAGGGTACCCGGCCACCACTTTGTCGCCGTCAACGTGGGCCTGTGCTTGTTGACGAGTTTGCAGCAACAAGAGTACAGACAGAAGAGAGTAGAGATTAGCCTGCCCATGAGCAGGTGACGACAACAGCGCGCAGCAAGCAAACACAGCGGGATACCGACATGTGAAGCACAAACTGCTTTGTGGCCGGGTCATAGGTAGCCGTTGTCTCCAAACCGCGCAGAAAGGTACCGTGCCCCATTTCCGTCTGGTGTCAGATGCCATGGCGAGCGATGAGCGCAGCGGTGTTGGTGCACCCGCACCACGCAGAGTCGCGCCGTACAGGTATATCGGCAAGCAAGCCTACCTGCGCGTAAGTTCCAACGATGCGCAGTGACTGTGCCAAGGGAAGCCACTTTTTCTGTTGCTCGGGAGTGCCTTGACCCTTGATGGCAGGTATAAACATCACCTAGGGCGTAGGAGAATCTGGTACTGAGCACTAGGGGAACCCAGCCGAGCGCTGGGCGCAGCCAGTACATACCCAATGCAGCCCCAAAGGCAGTTGCTCGCGAATGCACAGACGCATGACGATCGATTCCTCCTCGGATAGGTTGTGCTGTTTGACGAGCTGCACCAATCGCGATGTCTTTTCCATGGCTCTCGTGTACCTGTGGGGTGTGGTGAGTTTGCGAGGCGCGGTGAACGACTCGCTCATCACCGAGGTCAAGCTGCTGGGCCGAGGTCCCAAAGACGCATTTCATGTCAGTACAACGCTATCTTCTCATACCGTTCCTCGCGGGACGCAAAGTAGTAGTCATCCACCCGAAAGACGGGGTCCTCTTCAATGAGCCGCCGCACGGCATTAAAGCGCTCCAGTCGAGCCTGAGGAGCAGTTCTCAGCAGCATCATCAAGCCAAGAGACGATCCTGAATGCTGCAAGGAGAGCAAGTGTAAAAGGTACAGTCGTCTCACCTGGCCGCCGTAGAGGTGTGGGGTCAAGGCCTTGGGATCAAAGCTAGCGCCAGCGCGCTCAGCTTTCAGATCTGGATTCATGATGTGAGAGAGAGAGAGAGAGAGAGAGAGAGAGAGAGAGAGAGAGAGAGAGAGAGAGAGAGAGAGAGAGAGAGAGGTTTGGTCGGTTTGAGAAAGAAGTAAAGAGCAGCAGCAGAGCAGCAGCAGCAAAGAAAAGTAGAGAGAGAGAGAAACTGTGTTCGCCTTCATGCAAGGGTTTGCTGACATTTCGGGCTGTTGTTTATGCTCTGATCTCTCCCTCTCTCTAACCACTTGCTCTTGATGCCTTTCTCTCTCTTTCTCCAATTCAGCTCTCTCTCTCTCTCATCTCTCTCTGCTCAGTGGATATTTATGATTTTGTTTAGGGGTCCATAGAAAGCACTCAATTTTTCACACGCATGTGGCTTGCGTTTTGACCGAAGCACTGCAGGGGTGAGCACTGCAGGGGTGAGCCATGACGGTGGTTCAGACAGTAAACAATTACTCCATCTGTGACTCTTCTTCAAAGCCAAAGCCGCGCTGTAGAAATCAAGGAAGGGATGCATGCGTGAGGCAAAGGGCGTCGCACAAGTTTGACAGGAGCTCTCCCCCACCCTACAATTTGCCCAATTGACATGCGAACAATGAAAACATACCTCCATGGAGTCGGTTCCAGTGGCTTCGGCACCCATATCGTAGAGGCCAAAGGCGTCACTTGATTGGGCTTCTGCACGCCCCATGTCGTAAAGCAGCTCGTTATCCGAGGCTGGACTCGTGGCAGCATTTCCTGCATTGCCCATGTCGTACAAAAGCTCGTTCGTCGAAGCAGTGCTTGTGTTTGTCTCGCCAACATTGCCCATATCATACAATTGCTGCGCCTCGCTGTCAGCTTCCTGCGCTTTCCCCGTGTCCGCGGCTCCCATGTCGTAGAGGTCCGCACCAGCCTAGGATAGCAAATCGACCCTTGGTCAGCGCTCAAAGGCAAAGCACGCAACAGTCAAAGGACGGGGACTGACCCGAGCAGCTGAGGCTTCCACTACCACGAAGACCTGCAAGACAGGCCATTTGACTCAAGCATGAGATGACAATTCCAAGAAAAAGAAAGGGAAAGAGAAAAAGAAAGAGAAACGAAACAAAGGCGGCTGCGAATGCACCTGCAGCGCCTAGCTCATGCCACCGCTCACCTTGCCAGGAATCACCAAAACACCATGTTGGTCAGCGCAATCAAAGTACTCATGCTCTCCCACAGTGCCATTGTTGTTGCCCACGGCGTCATCAAGCTCCACCCCGCACCGAGGCGAACGCTTGACTTTGTGCGGGCCAAAGTAGCGTAGCGTGCCCATGCCATAGCCCACGACATCGACGCGGCTGCCCACGTCACTCGCCGTAGCCACTAGCGCATTATTCCCGAAAAAACAACATCAAGATGAGGTTGAATATTGTGTTGAAGCAAACGACTCAGCGAGTGCGAAAACCACCTACGTCGGCGTGTGAGAACAGGTGCCGACACATTTCCCTCGTTGCCATAAACTTCGTCCGTTTCGGGCTCGGAGGCGTCATCCACTTCAATGTCTAAGAAAGAAAAGACAGGGTGCATCGTCATGTCCAGGCAGAGACATGTTTGCCCACGCCTGCATGGGCGACAACGCCACATTGCCAGGGCAGATCACCGATATCAACGCACAGTTGCTTTGGAAGAGGCTGGACATGTCCGAATCAGTCTCCAGCGCCGCTAGAGCCTTGACCAGCGTCTCAAAGCTTGGGCGCTCGTGACGATCATGCAACCAACACATGGACATGATCTTGAAGACCGGCAGGGGGCAATCCGCTGGGCAAGGAAGCCGAAAACCTATAGCATGCCCGTGGCACACACGTCTCAGCTTTACGAGCGCACGAGGAGCAGCGAAAGATACGTGTTTCGCGTTCAAAGCCCAGCAGCTTTTGCATGTGCACTCACCGTTGGTCACCTCGATCCACACGCGTTGGTTGTTCCAACCGGTGTATGGCATAGCCGCCTTGGTATACACCTCATACATCAGCACACCAAAGGCCCACACATCGCTCTTCTCGCTGAAAATGTTATCTTCCAGCGCCTCGGGGGCGGTCCAGCGCACAGGTACATTGCCACCCCGCGAGCGATAGTAGGCATCATCCGTGCTCTCACGGGCCAAACCAAAATCGGCCACCTTGGCCGTCAGCGATGCCGACAACAGCACGTTGCGCGCCTAGCCCACAATCAAATCCCCAGTAGGTACCCGCCCATTAGCATGTAAGCGATTGAGCGATGGAATGAACCATGGAACGAACGAAGGATGGTCAAGACACAGCCGGGGGACGAGTCAACGAAAACAAAACAAACAAAAAAAAAAAAAAAATAAAAATAAAAATACAACTTACAGCCAGATCGCGGTGAATAAAACCGAGCGAGTGGATGTGGGCCATGCCGCTGGCCACCTGGCGGCTCCAGGTCACTTGCTGGGCCGGTGTACACGTCTTGTTCATCACGTAGTCCTTCAGAGACCCGTTGCGCATGTGCTCCAGGACCACGTAGATGGGGCGGCCCTTGGTGATGACACCAATGAGGCCCACCACATTGGCATGCTCCATCTGTGCCATGACCAAGGCCTCCTCAAGCAGTTCCTCCCGCTCGTTGTCCATAGCGTCTTTGCGGAGGGATTTGGCGGCAACCTGGATTTCTGGGGCCTTGGGCTCACTGAGAGAGGCCTCATAGACGATGCCAAAGGCGCCTTGACCCAGCTCGCTGAGGACGATGAGCCACTCGCGATTAAGCTCGCGCGGCTCCTTGGAAAGCTGCAGGTTTGAATCCTGCTCAAGACGTGCCTTGAGTACTAGAAGTTGGAACCACACAACACAATGAGATCACATACGACTTTTACACCACTCTGCAGCACAGTAGACCCCTTTTCGTGGAACGTACCGGCAAAATCAGCTGCACGATTGGCTCGCGCGCGCATAACGACCACAAGAATGACGGCAGCGATGATGATAATAAAGACAATGGCACCTGGCACAGAACATCAGGTTGAGAGACGGCACAGACAAAGACATTGAAATTGGTTCGCAAAGGCCTATTTTTGAGTTTGAGGTAGACCAATCGAGCTAACCTGCAATGCCACCCACGAGAGCGGTGTTGGCAGCGCTGTTGTCCCCCGACGCCGCTCGTTTCCAGCAGCATCGGTGGCCGTTGCAAGAACGTAGACCGGTTCTGATAAAAGTGTGTTTCCATGCGGTGAGTGGCGGGTATGACCAAACGTAGCTGACGCGCCAGTGAACCATCGTGAAGCATGCGGATAGGAGAGAGCGCACCGTTGTTGGCCACGAACGTCGATGAACTGAAGTTGAACACCGGCACAACCGTCGTGCCCGAATTGTCGGTCACAGAGACTTCGCGGTGCAGATCGACTTCGGCGGAGTCTGCCTCCACGAGTAGATCCACGGATGAGTCGGGGCAGACGACAACTGGAGGGGTGATGTCTCTCACATCGACGGTGATGTTGCACATGGCCGAATTGCCAGCGGCGTCCTCAATCGTTGTCTAACAGCGACAGACCAGATGTATGTGAAAGAGCACCCGAATGAAGCGTTGGGCCACTATGCGCACACCCGCACTGTACGCATGACCTGTCTCCCTCCCACCCATCAAGCAACCCACCGTCACCATGGCGCCGGTGTCTGACAGTCGATATCGGTTTTGAAGACCCTGGACGGTGCGAGTCACAACTCCGGCATTGTCCCAGGTCGATGACAACGGGGGCGCCAGCTCATCAGGATTGTGAACCTCGACTTGGCCGTCGGACGCATTGGGTGGGACTTGCAACACCACGGTCCTTGGGCATGGTTCCAAGAACATGGGGGTTTGCGGATCATACACCGCTAGCTGAAAGGTTTCCGTGGCCAGATTTAGGTCATCATCCATGGCCGTCACCGTCACCGTGAAAGGGCTTGCCGACAGGTTGAGCGCAGCACCATTGCCCGGAGAGAAGGCCACATCCACGATAGGGGAATCATCCTGGAAAGCAAAGAGCACACCATTGACAAAGAATCGAGCTAAAATTCCGTCTTGAGCAATGTTGAGCACGGCATAGCTTGCGTTGGGCAGAGTGGCGATAGTCGTGAGGCCGTTATTCAGCAGTTGACTCTCCATAGTTGGAGGGTCGGGATCGTACTCAGTTAGCTCGGCAAGCGCTGCGTTGTTGGGGTCGCTGGTGTGAAGCGTGTAGCGAAGCTTGAACTGCAGCGCGGCAGAAGCGGTGGGCATGATGGCCGTTCGGGTTTGTGGAAACTGTACACGAATGATCATGGCCTCAAACACGAAATCGTGGTCCATTTTAGGACTGTAGCCAGAGATCACCTCACGACCATTCTGATACGCGATGGACGCGCTCTCAAGCTTGTACCAGCGATCGGCCAAAAAGTCAGATTCTGCTCCATCTGGACGTGTAACGCCTGCAAAGGCAATCTCTACCACGGCCGGAACTGGGAAGGTTGACATCCATGGACAATGAGAGCCAAGCTTCAACGCAGAACTGGAAAAACCACGCAGCAAGGAGCGGCAGCAAGGACACACCGCTGGCGCTACGCCGACGATAGTCTGGGGCCTCATCTTGCTCGGGAGCCAATTCCAGCGAAGTGGCCGAATCTATTCAAAGAACGTTAATTTGTTTTCGTGACGCAACGCAGACTGGGGTCAGGATAAGCACAGCTATATTGCAAAGTCGGAGGGCAAACTGTACGTACACTCGTCAACAGCCAACTGCAGGTAAAACTGCATGGAAAGCGCATCACTGCGTCGACGGACATGGACACCATGTTCGCCGTTGGCGATCTGTACCCGCCATGACATTTTGTTTGTTGTGCTGCCGACGGACACGCCCGCGGCCGTCGTATCGAGCAGAGTAAAAGTTTTGATCTTCAGGTGTTCAAAGCTTGGCGTGACTGTTTGCACAAACATTGCTGGCTGAAGTGTTCGAGTTGGAAAGGTCACGGTTGTGGCTGTGCTCTCATACTGTTGGATTGGCAGCTGATGCAAGTGCAAGTCAGACGATAGGCAAAGGTGAGTAACAGGACTGATGCGAAGAGATATTGGATGGACAAGCCACGGTGAGTGCAGAATGATCTGTCTTCACGATGCGGCCAACCTCAAAGGAGCAAGGCTGAAGAGCGATGTTGCCGGCCGAATCCTGCGCGCTATATCCAAAAAAATAAGGCGAGCCATAGACAGAGAAGCTCGAGTTGGGCAACGGCTGACTCGCATCCGCGATTGGCTGCAAGTTGAGATCCACGTTATCAGACACAGAGGGCAAAGTCCAGTCGACGCGGACTTGGTCCACGCCCAGCGGGAGGCGAGCAGCATCCGTGCTGGCTAGCCCAAAGGCAGCACGAATTGCGGACAAAAGTTCGCTGGATTGGGGGCAGTTGAAGAGCTATCGGAGTACCACAGTGTTTTGAACACGGTGAGCTGGTGTGACGTCAAGAACCTCAGGTACCAAGGTTTTAGGGCCTCTGTTCCGAACCTTCGGGGCGACGTTATCCACGTTGGAGAGCCGACTGGCTTGAGATGGGTCGTTGAACACCAGCATCAGGCGATCCTGACCACGTGTGGCAAAAGAAAAACCTTGCACGGCGCCTGGCAGCCTAAGTGCAATCATGTCGATTCAGGGCAGAAATGGGGTAGGGTTAAGTTCAGTGTGGATGTGGCAACTCGGTGGCCACTCAAGAGTAGCAAGAGCAATGTCAAACATTTGCACGTACGACGCAGGTTCAAAGCGAAAGTTGATGGCGGAGAGCGCGTAGCTGGAAACGTTCAGGCCAGCCGCCAGGTCAGCTGCTTCAAGGCCAAGAGTAAAAGGTAGCGTGCCCGTTGAATACAGGCACTCTCCCCCAGTAGAGAGCCACATGCTAGCCACACCCAGTGTGGACACGCCATCGATCATGCTCAACGTGACCTGTCGTCACATCAAATTGCCAGAGGCCATTGAGTGAGGTCAACCACAACCATAACCAAGAAAAAAAAGAAAAAAAATTATCGAAAAAAAAAAAAAAAAAAAAAAAAACGAAAGTAGGCTGCCGTCCCCAGGTTTCGGGCTAACCGTCACGTTGCCAGGAATGGTGTAGGTCGGTTCGCCCATAAAGGTGCTGGCACACTGCGAACCAGTGACAAGCAGAACAGGAAGATGAATCAGTAAAGCGACAAAATTAGTCGGCAAACCAAAGTGTGTGCAAGTGACACCATTCACTCAGCATGACAAAGAGAGAAGGAGGGATTGTCCATACCCAGGTCATGGACCAGGTCAAGTTGGCACTGGTTGCAAATTTCGAAAGATCCAGCGTGAAGGGGACATTTTGCCCTCCGTGAGCGTTCACGATACCAAAGTTGAGTGCATCATTCTCAAACAGATCGCCAGTGAAGGAAGGTAGGTCTGGTGTCGCGGCTGCATAAACGAGAAGTGGACAAGCGTGAGATGGATTGGACATCAAAGCCTTTCTTTTGATCATGACGCCATGCCGTCAATCCCAGATGGACGCACAGCTGAGTTCATCTGGCGCAACCAAAATGTCGTATTGGGCATGCGCTGACGCCAATCGATCAATGACGGTAGAGGCCAGAGCAAAACCTTGGCGGACCGTTATCTATCCACGGCGAGGCGGGTAAGGCAGGTAAGGGCACGCGGCAAGTTGGGTCGCCGATTCGCCAACAAGGGTCGAGGTCGGTAGGGGTGCGTTCAAGGCGCTACACGTACTGCACGTTCACAAGAGAGGCTGCCACGCAGTCGTGGATGCGTGTAAACAAATTCAAAGATGTAAGGTTCTTGGCGAGCATCGAGCTCCACGATGCCACCCGTCACCATCGCAACTGACAATAGCAACATGAGCAGTGGAAAGCATAAGAATGCGACAACAAAAAGTGGCAATAGGTATGGCGTGCAAAGAATAGAGATGCTTTGAGATGTGCAAGGAGCAGCGTACAGATGGGGTCGCTCGAGGCCGATAGGCGGGCCGTGGCATTCATGCTAGGTGGTAGGCCAAGAACAGAGACTTGATCTGCGACACCGTCACCATTGACGTCGGGGAAGGCGACGGCAAGAGCCTGGCCAGGGTTGGTATACGCGGAGCTTGAGGCAGGACATTGAAGAGAGGGTACGCGTAGCTGTGGACACGGCGGATTAGTCGCACAAAACGGATGAGATTGACTGTCAGAATGATGGGAGATCACGCGGGCGGTGTGTTGAGGCGGGCATACCGTCAAAACCTGCGATGCAGTGCACCCCGCAGTTGAAATGACACCGGCTGACACGCAAGATGTCTCGGCATCCGTCACTAGAGAGAACACCACTGTTTAAGGCGAGATGCTTGACAAGAGCAAAGTCTCCGGTCTTCGACAGGCTTGGCCGATTGCGTGGTGCATTGTGACCTACCACTCAAGACGATCTCAACGGTGCGACCTGCATAATACTTGTCAATTGCCCGAGCGCGAAGTGCAGTCCCGAGGCTGGGCAAAGAAGCCTGAAATAGAAAGCGACCCTCCACTGCTGTGGGCGTGAGGGTGGTCACCAACGGCGCTGTTGTTTCATCCTCAGAGTGCTGCAGCGTCAGCTGAGGCAGACCCAGGCCCGAGGCGCGCTGTCGAGTGGTGGGCGAGACAGCAGAAAGAGTGAGGGTGCAGTCTTCAGAAGATCATGAGAAGAGGTAAGGAAACATACAACTTGTATGTAGCTGGTAAAGAGGGTCATGTTGTCAGTGGCTTGCTGAACAAATCCTTCCGTAACGATCTAGGACAGTCGGGATTGAGCCGACAGTCATTACAAAGCCGAGGCACTCAAGCTGGGGATGCATTTGATGCACGGGTCGTACGGCTTCGACCACTTGATCAGTGGTTGCAAGAAAGGTGGGTGGGATGCTGTCATCTAAAATGTGACGATTCAGCCAACAGGTGCTTGTCAGGACCAGTGTCAGAGGATAGAAGCGCAATCAGAAAACAAGAACTCAGAAGTCTTATCCCCCGAACAAAAAAAAAAAAAAAAAAAAAAAAAAAAAAAGAGGAAAGTTTGACCAAGAGGTTCGACAACTTCTGAACAGGGGCCTACATTCGCAAGATCCAGAATAGGGGTCGAAGACTGTTCCAGGGGCGCACAGACGGCAGGATGGGCGTAGATACATGCCAAAGGTATCGCCTGCCTCAATGACGCTGCTCCAGCAATTAAATGCAAATCATCAGCGCATGGTGGCGACAAGTCGATTATGACGGATGCTGCAGGCTGACCTGGCGTCATCGAGCGAAGGCAGATAGCCAACGTAATAGTTGCAAACGTCCTCGGATGGGTCATAGTCGTAGCCAAAGCACTTGCCGAGGGCGGTGAAGCGGCACAGGTTCTCACACTCGGTACGAGTGTTCTGGCCTGCCATGGTTTGTGGTCACTGCATCAACGGCGGCTATGGTTTTCCTCACAGTTGGAACCTTGCGTTTTAAGGATGCAGAGTTCGTACCGCGGCTGTTCAAGGTATAGACGGGATTGTAGAAGCGACGACCGTAGGCAACCCAACGAAAGTCGTCTTCGCCCGAGAGCTCGCAGCTCAGACAGTTTGCAGGGCATCTGCCAGCACAACTGCTGGGCTCCTCGGTAACGGTGCGATCAGCAACGCATAGGTGCGTTTCTGCGGGACAGAATGGAAAATCATGAAGAAAAAAAAAAGGGATCAAGTTCATGAGAAGCCGCTCCAAGGGAGCCTGGTGTGCCGACTGCACCGACTCGGAGAATACATACTTTCACTCAGAGACAGGGAGACGGATTGGTGCTGTAAGCAAGAACAGATAACGCATGGCGCAAGTCACCGTGAGCTGATACTATAATCAACGTAGGCCAGGGGTGGGAGCGATCTTGTGCTGTAGGCGCATGCTTGACCCGCGTACCAGTTGAAGTCGAACGCCGGGGCCAAGCGTAAGGCTCATAGCCTCGAGCCTGGTGTCCACTTGAATGACGTAGGCTGCGGCAACGGCAAGAACAAACCAAAAAAACAAGAACAAAAAAAAAAAAAAACCAGTGAGAGATTGAAGAAATTCGAGTTGGCTGTATCAGACTGCTCCCTAGGAAGCTGCAAAGCAGCAAGCGACGGCGGGGCATACATACACTCTGCCGAGGGTGGGGCGGGAAAGTACAGCAGGTCATCGTGGGTCGCGTTGCCCATGGTTGAGTTTGTTTGTTCGTTGATAAAGTGGTCTGATGTGAGCCTAGCATCTGAGGCAGAGCCCTGAAACACCAAGTTCAAGGGTTGTTCGGCTACTTGCTCTGACGCTGTGGCCAGCGCGTGGGGAAGGGCTTTGTTTTGACATGCTGGAACAATCTGGTCGGCATCCAGGTTGGAGCAGAGCTGGCAAAAGGAGGTATTGGCGGCCAGGGCGGGGTTGCCGTTGCCGCATACCCCTTGAAAGCACTCAGTAGCGCAGTACATGCCGTCGGCGCATTCGCTAGCGTCTGTGCAAGCGTGAAAAAGGGCGTGGTGGTGGTCAAAGGGCACGATGGCGCTGGTGCAGACGTGATCGGGCAATAGCGTCAAAGAGTTGGCGACGTTGCAGCCTGGCCTGGAGTTTGGAAACAGGCGGGCAAAGGCTGGTTGAGTCGGGATTGCTGGGGCGAGAGCTGTGGGGAGAGGTTTGCTTACAGTTCGTAGACGGCCAAATCAGCGTGACACAGCTTGATCCCGGCACCTAAATCCAGGTGAGGTGAGCAGACACAAATGAGATAGGACAAAGCGGGAAGGCGGGATGCGGACCAAACATTCATGGTCATGATGCCATGTACACACCGGGTTCACAAAGGCCGGTCAAACCCGATGCGCCATCACTGGCGGCCCAGGTGAGGCTGTGCCCCTGAGCCCTGACGCCCAACGTCGAGGTCAAGAGCAGGGCCACCAGGGCGATTGCCGCCCCTTGGCTCGAAGCCGGCATTGCAAAACGCAAAACGCAGCGCTCAGCAACGCTTCACGAGGCGGGAACAGGCACACAATAGGCAAGGGATCGGGAAAGCAAGTGCATGCAGGGAAGAAGCCAAGGATCCTTCGGCTGTTCGAGCAATCAATACGCCCTCTGCCGAAAAAAAAAAAATACGAGAGAGACGTTTGAGAGAGAGAGAGAGACGTTTGAGAGAGTTTGAGAGAGTTTGAGAGAGAGCAGAGTTTGAGAGAGTTTGAGAGAGTTTGAGAGAGTTTGAGAGAGAGCAGACTTTGAGAGAGAGTTTGAATTGGTTTGGTCGGTTTGAGAGAGAGAGAGAGAATCATCATCAAGGGGTGTGAGAAAAGCAAGATGACGACGACGCTCTTGACTCTTTCTGTCGATGCACTCATGCAAATGCTGAGGGTGGGACGGCTGTGGTTGGATGGGGTTTGATTCTTTGCACTATGTATCGACAGACGGACGGGAGATCAAGCCCTCCCTGCTCGAACGTCCATTGGTTTGGGCTGAGTGGAGCTTGGACCCTTTTCTCGTTTCGCCGCCTCCCACTCTACGATGGCGTTTATTCATTCGTAGTTGCTGCTTGGACCAACACGCTTGTTCAATGCAAGCCATCACCGCACCGACTAGCGTCGCTCAGTCACCAATGACTTGGCTCTATCAGGCTATGCGATCGTGACGACGACGACGACGCGACGACGCCAACGCCCACGGCGATCAAGGGCGTGTGACTGGAACCCGTCGTCATCATCATCCGCGTTTCCCATCAAGCGAAAAGAGGGTGTGTGGGTGGGTAGGACAAAATCCTCTCAAGCCCAAAACCACACACAAGAAAATAAAAGGAAATTAAGGGAAACAAAAGGAAACAAGACACGCCTTTGTTCTTCAATGCGTGTGTGTGTGTGTTGGGCCTAGCAGAGAATGTCAGCACTTTTGACGGGATTTGGGACACATATAGGAAAGAGGAAACCAAAAGGAGGGGGGTTACAGGGCGGTGTGGCTGAAGCCTTCAAAGACTTCGGAGGGTCGCTTGTGCAGGGTCGACGGCGCTTCTGAATATTCATATTCCGTCTCCGTGGTCGCGTTCAGGTTCGGGGCGCTCGAATATTCATAGGCGTTGTCGGACACATTCAAGTTGCTGCCAGCCGAGTACTCGTACTCACTTTGATTCAGCTGTGGATACACCCACCAAAGCGACACGAGGGTGCATGGTGAGTCGAGGCATCCTCTATTCTGAAAAACAAAAACAAAAACAAAAAACAAAAAAAAAACCGCTCCTTTTCTCCATTGCCCCTGAGTTCCTCATAACAACAATTCAAGAGCACAATCTGGGTCGACAAACCTTGGGGCTGGCCTGCGCACTGATGGGCACAGGCTGCTCGTACATGTTCTTGGGATCCTGGTCCACAAGCTCATAAGCACTGGTGCCAGCAGTGCGACTGCCCTGCACAACCTGCTGGCCTTGACCTGGAACATCATAGGCGACGCCATTGACGGGCACGGGCTCCTCGTAGACGCCGTCGGCGGGCGCGGGTGGCGCCAGCGAGGGCCGCCCATTGGTACTCACGGACATTGAGTACTCGTACGCGTTGTCACCTTCCTCGGTTAGAAGCACAAACACCTTGGACGGCACCACCAAAACACCATGCTTATCGGGGCAGTTGAAATAGGTATGACCACCCACGACACCATTGTTGTTGCCCAGGGGCTGATCGAGGTGTACACCACAACGCAAGTGACGCTTCACGTGATGGGGCCCATAGAATCGCAACATGCCCGTGCCGTAGCCCGTCACAGTGACCCGGGCTCCCACGTCGCTCGACGTGGCCACACGTGTCGAGCTGGCGCCATCCAATACATCCTCATACTGGTTGGGCATTTCTGCTGAATTTTGCACTTCCAGATAGTCGTTGGCAGGATTGCTGCTACCTCCCTTCTCCTGGTTCTTGTCAAATCGTACGTCCACATAGGAGTTGGCCACCGCCGTCTTGGTAGCGGACGCAGCCGGGGATGCAGCCGAAGCTGCACCAGCGCCTCCCTCTTCCGCGACGTCAATCTCCCCGAGGCGCTGTTCCAACTCGCTAAACGTTGGCCGATCTTCGCGCGTGAGCGCCCAGCACGCGTACATGACTTTGTACACATCGCTGGGACAATCAGGCGGACACTCGAGTCGATAACCTGAACGCAGCCACAATCACAATCGCCCATGAGTACTCGATGTCACGCATCAAGATGTGAAGTGGCAACGCAATCAAAACATTTTGCCAGATGACAAAAGACACGCACCGTTGGTCACCTCGATCCACACGCGTTGGTTGTTCCAACCGGTATATGGCATAGCCGCCTTGGTATACACCTCATACATCAGCACACCAAAGGCCCACACATCGCTCTTCTCGCTGAACAGATTTTGATTGAGCGACTCGGGGGCGGTCCAGCGCACAGGTACATTGCCACCCCGCGAGCGATAGTAGGCATCATCCGTGCTCTCACGGGCCAAACCAAAATCGGCCACCTTGGCCGTCAGCGATGCCGACAACAGCACGTTGCGCGCCTAGCCCACAATCAAATCCCCAGTATGTACCCGACCATCCAATGATGAAATGAGCGATGAACGAACGAAGGATGGCCAAAACACAGCCGAGTCAACGAAAACAAACAAACGAACAAACAACAACAACAACAACAACAACAACAACAACAACAACAACAACAACAACAACAACAATAACAATAACAACCACAACCACAACAACACTTACGGCCAGATCGCGGTGAATAAAACCGAGCGAGTGGATGTGGGCCATGCCGCTGGCCACCTGGCGGCTCCAAGCCACTTGCTGGGCCGGTGTACACGTCTTGTTCTTCACGTAGTCCTTCAGAGACCCGTTACGCATGTGCTCCAGGACCACGTAGATGGGGCGGCCCTTGGTGATGACGCCAATGAGGCCCACCACATTGGCATGCTCCATCTGTGCCATGACCAAGGCCTCCTCAAGCAGTTCCTCCCGCTCGTTGTCCAGAGCGTCTTTGCGGAGGGATTTGGCGGCAACCTGGATTTCTGGGGCCTTGGGCTCACTGAGAGAGGCCTCATAGACGATGCCAAAGGCGCCTTGACCCAGCTCACTGAGGACAATGAGCCACTCGCGATTAAGCTCGCGCGGCTCCTTGGAAAGCTGCATGTTTGAATCCTGCTCGAGGCGCGCTTTGAGGGCGTGAAAGTCGGCCGCCTGGTTGGCACGAGATCGCATGGCGTACAGAACGATGATGGCTAAAATGATAATGAGAGCACCCGCACCGGAAGCAGCGCCCACAATCACCGACGACGTGCCCGAAGCAGCTGATTGCGCCGCGTTGGCGCCCGCACCGGCCACTCCCTCCACCAATACCACCAACACGCAAGGGGTGGCAGCATTGCCTGAGCTATCAGTGCCAGAAACCTGAACCCAGGTCTCAGTATCGGCGGCAAACTCAAAGCTAGTCACGTTGAAAACGAGCTCGATGCTCTCACCCGAGTTATCGGAGACTGTAACCTCTCTCTCCAAATCCACTGTGACAGATGCATCAGTGGTAAGCTGCGAGATGGTCGCTGTGGGACACGTGATCTGTGGCGGGGTTTCATCTGTCACGTAGATGAAGACCACGCATGTGGCCTGATTGTCATGATCATCCATGGCAATGGTGGTCACGTTCGCGCCTGACTCGAGGTACGAGTAGGACTGGCTGTAATACAAAACAGTGACATCCTCGACCTCATCGTTGTCGAAGATTTCACTCTCCAAAGGAGACACCTCGTTCTCGGCAAATTCTGCTTCACCATTTGTTGCCGTGGCCGGCACGACCTTGCTCACACTGCGGGGGCAACCAGGTACAAAGCGAGGCGGCTCAATGTCCACCACGTTGAAAATATACGAGGCCGTGGCAAAGTTGAGGTCATCATCTGTGGCAGTGACTGTGATGGTGTGGCCGTCGTCATCGATTTCAAGTTCTGTGCCATTTTCAGGGCTAATCACAATATTGCTCAAGGCTGAAGCGTCCACAACCTCGACGCGCTTGCCGTTCAACAGGATTGTCGTTTTGTCGTTGGTCGTGGTCGTGATATGGTATGTAAAGGTAGCGTACGGCTTTTCTGGATCTGTCACGAGTATCGCTTCTCCGGATGCAAGGTCGGTGCTGGAAATGACCGGGGGATTCGGGTCAAAGTCGACGATTTCTAAGAGCTCGGCGTTGTCGTTGTCGTCCGCGTGGAGCGTGTAAATGAATTCAAGCTTGAAATGCGCATCAATCGTGGCGAGAGTCACCTCGCGGGTCTTAGGATAGCGTACGCGCAGCGAGACGGACGAGAAGACAAAGTCGACATCGAAGCTGGGGCTGTAGCCGCTGAAGACTTCTGTATTGTCGATGGCGTTGTAGCTCACCACGGCGCTCTCAAGCTTATACCAGCGATCCTCCAGATAGGGGGCTTCGTCACCATTGGTGGGCTCCTGGATACCGGAGAACATGATTTCCACGACGGCAGGAATGTCCGTGTCTCGCAGGTAACGGTTTCCCTCGTCCTGTGCATCATCCAAATAGACACGCTTGTTGGCATACTCGTCAATGGCGAGCTCGACGTAGAACTGCATTTTGTAGGCATCCTCCCGCGAACGAATGTGGATGCCATGGATGAGCGCAGACTTGAGAGCTGTCAAGGTGAGGAGATTGGTCATCTGATTGACAGAGGCGGTCAACGGGTCGATGGGCGTGTCCAGGAGGGTGAAGGTCTTTGTCTTCAGGTCGAGCAGCCCCGATGAAAGGCTCACGGGCAAATTGGTGGTGTGCAGCACCTGTTGCTCCAGCGCAACGGTCGTCTGTGGCGAATCAAACTGGTCAATGGGAATCTAGACAAGCATGGGTCAGCGCAAGAGCGCGCCGCATGGTCAGTGAGATGGGCGGAGGGAATGGGCCAAGGTGCCAACGCGTTAAACAGAGCACACTTGGATTGTGGTTGAAGCGCATACCTCAAAGACACATGCCGCCTCGGCTTCATTACCGCTTGCGTCCGTGGCCGTGTAGCGCACAAAGTATGGTGACCCATAGACGGTGAGGGTAGAGTTGGGCTCGGGCTGATTCTCATCGGGAATGGCCTCGGTATCCAGGTCGACATTGTCGACGGCAATGGGTACTTCCCAGGTCACAAACACACTGTCGGTGCCGAGCGGAAGGGTGGCGTCCTGGTTGCTCTCCAGGTTGAATGTTTCGCGAATATATTGGAGAATTTCGCTGGTTTGCGGGCAATCGATGATGCGTGGTGCCGTGCTATCGACGTTGGTCATTCGCGATGCAAAAGTGGGGTCATTAAAGACGAAGATGAGTCGGTTGTCAGCACCGGCCTTGTAAGTCGTGGCGCCATCATCAAGCAGGTCTACGCTGGACTGGATAAAAAAGTTGATGGCCGTGACGCCAACAGAGTAGAGGGTAACGCCGTCATCGAAAATGTCGTCCGGCAGCTGAATGGGTAATTCACCCGCGCTGTGGATGCAAGCACCATCGGCCGTGCTCCAGAGAGTGCCGTTGCCAACGTTCATGACCCCGTCAATGAGGTTGAGGGTGAGCGTGGTAATGCCAGCGTCAATGTACGTCGGATTGGCAGCAGCCGACTCGGTGCACCATTCCAATTGCCATGTGACGGTGATTTCAGTGTTGTTGGGCGAAACCTCGAGGGAGAAGGGAATGTTGCCAATGTCCGTGTTGAGATCGTTGACGACGCCAAAGTTGAGGGTAGAGTTTTGAATCAGGGTGGCATTAAACTCAGGGAGATCTGGCGTGATTGAGCTTAGGGTGGCAGGGGCCAGGAAGATGTCGTATTGGGCACGAGCGCGCTCGAGGTGATCGATGACTGAGGAACCCATGGAGAAGCCCTGTAGGACGGTAAAAGAACGCTCACAGCGGAGCTCGCCGCGGAGGGCAGCGTGGGTCCACATATAGGCAAAGGTGTATGGTTCTTGACGGGGTTCAAGGCTGACAACGCCAGTGCTGACACCGAAGAAGGCGTCGTCGGTGTATTCTGCGTCAAGCGCGGCGTCAACATCATCGTCAAGTCCTTGCACGGTGACAGTATCGGCGATACCGTCGCCATCAGTGTCAGGAAAGGCAAACTCGACGGCCTCACGGGGGTTGCTGTATTCGAGGGCCGAGGCTGGGCAATCGAGCGAGGGCACGAAAAGAAGAAGGTCGATCTGTGTCGTGCAGCCACCGACAAGGGGGCTGCCGTCCACAACACACGAGGCAAATCCATCATCGACTGCGAGAACGAGGGCGTAGTTGCTACCAGGCAGGTAGGTGGTGACCGCCGTGGCGCGTTCGGTGGTCGATTTGGCCGGAAGAAGGACATCAATGCGAACAATGCCGACGGCGTCGGCGACGGGGCTAGTGAGGATGGTGAGCGGCGAGGGACTACCCACCTGGCCTTGTGGGTAGACGGAGAAGACCGCTACATCAGGGTCGCGCACTTGGACATAGTTGGTAAAGAGGATGCGCTCGGCGGTGGTGGTGGCAGTGGAGACGAGGTACTCTTCGGTAATGTAGGCTTCGTCGTTGGCGTCTGAGACGTGGATGGGGGTTGGGGGCACCGAGTTGTATTCGCAGGCGTTGGCATACTTGTTCCAGACGGTACCGGGGTTGCAGGTGCGGCAACCCTGGCGAAGGTACACCTCAGTTGTGTCGGCGACATTGGTCGCCTCGGTGTCGAGGTCTGGGGCGTAAGACGTGAAGATGCGGCAGCTGAGGGTGCTGGTGTCAAACTGAAACCCAAAGCAGCCATGGGCAGTGCCGGGGGCAGCGTTAATGTCGGCGCACTTGGCAAAGCAACCTTGTTTGTTGCTGACAGGGGCGGTGACGGGGGCGATGGTGCTACTGGCGATTCCTCGGCCACGGGCAGCAAAGTAGAAAGGTGCAAAGTCGCTGTTCTCGGACATGGCGCAGGAGAGGCAGCGGTCGGGGCAGTTTCGGAAGCAACTGGCCTGGCCCTGTTCGTCGGTATAGCCGACCATTTCTCCGGCGACGCAGAGGCGCTGTGTGTCGGCGGGCCAAATGTACAGAGGGTTGTTCAACGTCAGGCTAACGCCTAGGCCGATATACAAGGCCCGGGTGTTGAAGGCTTGATCGACCTGCACTGCGTAGCTGTTGATGTAGGTACTGCCCTGGTACACCTCGGAGAGTGAATCAATGTACAGTACATCATTACGCTGCGGGGAGACTAGTTCATCCGTATCGACGGCTTGGTGCAGGCGGGCGGGATTGGTGAGGTTGACGCCAGTTTCACCGTCATTTTCGACGGGGGTAAAGACGACATCGACCGGGCGACCGGTGGCGGATTCAATGCTGCCCGCAAACAAGGGGGAGACGGGGTTGAGGTGGCAGTTGGCGAAGCGGTCGTCAAAGGGTAGGAGGGCACAGGGCTGGCAGTAACCAGAAACACCGCTGGCAGTGTCGGGGGTCGTGCCCTCGGGTACGCCGTAACCGCAGAGGCCCAATTGACAGGTATCGCTACAGTACAGGCCGGCGCTGCATTCGCGATCGCCGGTGCAACCCGGGAAGGGGGTGTCACCAGGGGAGTAGTCGATGGCGCCGCCGGTGCACATGAAGTTGCTGGAGGCTCGAGTAGCTTGACTGAGGCTACTTGCATCGCAGCTGTGCAGCGCAGCACGGTCAGGCCCGGCCGGGTCCGTGGATATGAGCTGTGGCAAGAAATGGGCGAGGGACCGGCCAAGTCAGAGACGCAGCACGTACCTGGTGGTGTAAACGGTGTTTTGATCGAAGCAAAAGTAGAGGTTTGATTCTAAGGGTCGGTTGACATTGGGATCGACACGCCTCCTGAGTGAGACAAGTTTGTTGCGTATAGGTTGCTGCTCGCGAGCGAGGCGGGCCGTGAACCGTGGTGAGGCAACGTACCGTCATCACAAGTACCCGAAATGGACTCGGGATCTTCAAGGTAAGAATAGGCAAGTGGATCGGCATCGTTGCTGGCCTGGCACCCCGCCATCCAGGCGCAGGCGATCAAAAACAAGAGGCCTGTGGACCACCGCATCCTGACAATGTGCAGCAAGGATCCTGGATCGAGCGCCACCCGAGGGCTTGGGCCTTGTCAACGAGTCCCAATCAAAGGTCAGAAAAAAAGAACGACAGAAAGTAGAGGAGAAAATGCAGCACGAAGAACGGAGCGAGCCCCAAACACGACACTGCACAGTGCAGCGAGGGCCGATCACGAGGAGGGGAGGGGAGGGGAAGGGAAGGGAAGGGCGTTCAAGCCCTCGCGGTAAGGGAAGATCTCAACAGAAAAATACAATGTCATTAAAACCTTACGCCCCCTTACTTACAGTTACCAATACACTCGTACACCCAGCTCCTTACCGCTAATGCGAGGACTGCTTGTGACAGAGAGAACAAAGGAATGAGAGAGAGAGAGAGAGAGGAGAGTTTGAGAGAGTTTGAGAGAGAGAGAGTTTGAGAAAGAGAGAGTTTTTGACGATAACACGAAAGAGTCAGCAAACAAAGAGGCTGGACAAAAAGGCTGTTCCTCCCATGGACACACACATGGTCATGTGCCAAACCAGTCTCAACGAAACGGTGCAGCGTCGAGGGCCGAGGGCCGAGGCGAGGGCGTCGTGGTGGTAGTCGCATGAGGCCCAGCCAGCTTTGCAGATCCCGGCCGTCCGTAAGCTTGTTCAGTCAGTCAGTCAATCACAGTCAGTCAGTCAGTCAGTCAGTCAGTCAGTCACAGTCGCTTCGGGGAGAACGCCTTCTCGTCTCTAGGGCTCAAGCGCGCCATCGGATGACGTGCCGTCAAAACCTGTAGGACCTCGCTGTTTTGTTTTGTGTGACAACAACACGCAAGCAAAAAGCGCAAGGAAGACTCTTTGAGTCATTCAGTCGGTCATCCTTTACGAGTCAACACAACAACACGGCCTTTTATTGTCAGATTTTTATTGTCAGATATTAATGTCAGATGGTCACTGGGGCGCCATTTGTCAGCAAAACTATGGGGGGTCAAAACGTACCGTTCGTTGGGTTAGAAGCGCATGGCAGACGTTGCAAAAGAACAATTGGTCAAAACCATATTTTTAGCTGTGAAACTATACAGATTTGCACCCGCGTTGGTACCATTGGGCGAGCCTCTCTTGTCGGTCACGGTGACTGGCAAGTGGCACTTTTCCATTTGCGATCGCTGTGTTGAAGTTGCGCTGCCAATTTCTCAACTCAGCACCGCCATCATGCCTGCCACCAAGAAATCCGTAAGTGTTTGGTGCACACGGGACTGTCCCGTCGTGTCGCCGAACACGGGCGGGCAGTGAATGCAAGGGCTCGAATGGTAGGCCGTTCTTTACGATGGCTTTGCCGTTCAGCTCATGGCAACTTTTTTTTCCCATCTCTTGCATCGTTTTTTTTCCTTCCCGCCCTTCCCTCTTTGTGCTGTGGCGGTGGCTCGTCGTGGATCCATCACGCGACCTCTCCAACACATACGCACGCATACCATTGCAAACGTGGTGGGCGGGACTGTAGGTCAAGAACCAGAAGAAGCAGTTCACCATTGACTGCGAGGTCGCCACCGAGGAGGGCATCATCGATCTGGCTGCTTTCGTACGTCTTGCCGCTTTTGCCATTGCCTTAAGGTTCACGCACGCAAAACTCACGGGGGGACTTGAACCATATCGCAGGAGAAGTTCTTGCAGGACCGCATCAAGGTCAACGGCAAGACTGGTGGTCTTCAGGGTGTTGTCGACCTGACCCGCACCGCTTCCGCCATCACCGTCACCACTGAGGCTCCCTTCCCCAAGCGGTAGGTTTTCTCTCATGGAAGCCTGTTCTGACCATCAATGCATTTGTGCCATCGCACCGTGCTCTCATCGGTCTCATGGTTGCAACTGACTATAATACGATAGTTACCTCAAGTACCTGACGAAGAAGTTCTTGAAGAAGATGCAGCTCCGTGATGCTTTCCGTGTGGTCGCCGTCAACGCCTCCACCTACAAGCTCAGCTGGTTCAACATCTCCGACGAGGCTGAGGAGGAGGAGGCTGACGAGTAAATCGTCCCTTGCCGCTTTTCTCAAAAGTCTGGCTCGTCCGATACCCCGCATGCTTTGCACGGCTGGGATTGGCGCCTGGAGCGTGAACAATTGGGTCTCCCGATGTTGTTGAATTGACCGTCGGTTGGCCATTTATTCCGTGTCTTTTTTTTTCTTTCTTTTGCCTTTTTTTTTCGATAGCTTTTGTTTGTGTGCATGTGTGCCGGTTGCTCGATGGTGGTCGTATCGCCACATGGCTGTGCCATTTGTGTGCGATGCCTCCCCTTGAGCCTCTTACGAGTTGATAAACGCAACTCGTTGGGGAAGAGAGACAATAATTTACCGGCTCTTGTCACATGCTTCTGCCCTCGTCCTTGCTGAAGGCTGCATCATGATTGGGGAACCATGGGAACGACCAAAACCTGCTTCAAAGAGAGAGAGGATACAGGTCTTCTCTTCATCATCATCCAAAGAAGAAGAAAAGCTCATCGAAAGAAAGAACGAACGAAAGCAATCTTCATCCCTTCACCACATGGTCGCTTGTCAGACTTTTTCGACCTCCTCTCTCTCTCTCCCTCTTCGCGTCTTTGGCCTCCAGAGCACGCACACACACGCCAGATCAGCGAGACAGCATCGCTTCTTGTGACCGGTCCGCGACCATGAGTGCAGCCGAGGCGCCGGCTGAGCTGGTTCAGGCTTGGCAGAATGCGGTCAAGCGTACCCTGTTGAGCTGGCAAACGCTCAAAGTGCTCGTTGATAACGAGGCTGGTGGCGAGGAAACCAGGGATAAGGCTGAATGGCTCTGCACGGTCACCGCTGATTGGATCTGCGAAATCCCCGACGGTGCGTGCTTCAATGCCTCCGTGTGTCCCCCACTTGCAACGCTTACGACCCCTGTGCCACGTCTTGAGATGTCCCGCTTTGATCCCTGCTCATCGGTGCGTCTCGTTGTGATGACGCCTCGCGCTGGCTCGTTCAGACCCCCCCACGGCCGAGGAAGTTGACGAGTATATTTGCGAGATTTTGCGTAACGAGTTCTCAGTTGTGTGCAGTGATGGTGTAGCTGTCGAGGTTCGTCTTGCTCGTCTCTCGCCCTGGCCGCTTAGCCTCTCGTCACAGGCTCATCTCCTTGATGCACTGTTGTTCCTTAGATTGCCAACGTGCTGTGCACCCTTTTCCGCGCTTTTCAGGCGGGTGACCAAAATGTGCTGGAGAGCCACCGTCCCGCGCCCGAGCTGAACCGTAACCAAGTCTCTATGATGCAAGGCACCACGGACCTGGATGATGATGAGGATCAAGGCCCCGCGCCGTCGCTGGTGCCTGCCAACCCCGCACCCACCAGCGCCCGGGCGGAGCGCATGGACGAGGATGGCACCTCGAGCGGCAATGAAGATTCTGATGGCTGGACCACCGTAACCCGCAAGCATTAGTGTCGTCAACCGTCTATGCCTCAGCTCATCTCGCCGGGCGCGGCTGCACAAGGTGCTACAGAGGCACCCAGGGATTGCCCGTGCTATGGCGTCGAAACCTGTTTATGCCCATGTTTGTGTGAATCGGCATGCCCCGCTCACTGGTCTCCAGCAAGCAACAAGTCAAAGGTCCTATGCTGGCAAAGCCTCCATAACGGACTTTGCATTCCCGGTGAACGGAAATTTTCGCGGAACGAGCGAGTAAACTGGACTGCTCCTGTGCCAAGCACTGAGATTGCCGGTCCTTGCCTTCATTTTACAATCGAATCATGTGTCCCCCTGTCCAGCCCTTGCGTTGGCTTCTTGGCCCAATGTCCCGTGCCATCACCTCTTCCATCTTCCACCACCAACGACAAACAGAACGAGAGCGAGAGAGAGTGAGAGAGTGAGACAGAGAGTGACAGTGAGACACAGAGAGTCAGAGAGAGTCAGAGAGCGAGACTGACAGAGAGAGTGTCAAGCATCATCACAAGAACGAAAGCAACTCTGTGTGACATTTTCCATTTTCTCTCTCTCGCTCTTTTTTGTTGCGCGCTCATTGCTTTCAAAAAACTCCGTTTGCGGTTCAGTGTGTGTTTGTTGCTGAAAGTGGCAGTGGCGACGTTTTAACCTGCCTGCCTGCCTGCCTCTGCTTTGGGTTGAATGCATTCATGACGCGGTTGGATCGCATGTGATAGGCCTCTTGATCGTCTTTGCTCTCGTGGTCTTTCTTTGCCTCTGCCCTTCAGCCTCCCGCCACCATGGTGGTCCACGAGAATCGCGTGCTGTTGCCACAGCAGCTCACCCCGGTCCGCTACAACGTGGAGCTCTCCCCGGACCTCGTCAACTTTACTTTTGGAGGCAAGGTAATGTGAACGCTGGCCCTGTACCGTGGCGCGCTCGGTCTTTCCTCTTGCATCGCCCGCAGTCTTTTGGCACCCTGTCGGTCCAGTCGTTCTTGGCGTTGGGTTTGAAGAAGCTTGATGTTTCGTTCTTACACGCCATTCTGCTCTGGGATGGCTGGTGGGGTATGTATGCAGGTTGTGCTCCACACGACCGTCAATGAGGCCGCCTCCTCTGTTCAGCTCCACGCGCGCGAGCTCAGCATCAAGACAGCTCATGTGGTGCAAGGGGGCAAGAAGATTGAGGTGCCCGAGTTCTCCATCAACCTGGCCAAGGAGATCCTGACCCTCCAGTTTGCCGAGACGCTGTCCCCGGGTGAAGCCGAGATCCACATTGCCTTTGACGGCATCCTCAATGACCAAATGGCAGGATTCTACCGCTCCAGCTACAAGGACATCAATGGAAACTCGAAGATCATGGCCACCACTCAATTCGAGGTTTGCAAGGCGGGGCGGGGCGGGGCGGGGGAAGGGTGGGGTTGACACTTGAACGCACCCGCTGCGGCTGGCTCGAGAAGGGCACGGCACTTGACCATGCATGGACGAGCCGAGCCTTCGACACAGCCATGGCTCACTTGGGCTGTGTTTGCGTGTCTCCTGCGTATAGAGCATTGACGCACGCCGTGCCTTCCCCTGCTGGGACGAGCCCGCCGCCAAGGCCATCTTTGAAATTACCTTGGTGGTCGACCAGCACCTCACTGCCATCAGCAACATGCCTGAAGCCTCCAACATTACTCTTTCCAACGGCAAGCGCCGCGTGGTCTTTATGCCCACCGTCAAGATGAGCACGTATCTCATCGCGTTTGTTGTTGGCGAGCTGGACTGTGTTGCCGTATGTCTCAATGTGGCCCCCCCCCTAATACGAAAGCCCCTCGCTTCCATTTGCCTCGGCTCATTGAGGCCGAGGAGGTCCTCTTAACTTTCAAGCCGTGCACCACACTGACCAGCCTTTTAATCGCTTGGCACTTCTTAGGGCGTTACAAAGCATGGCGTGCCGATTCGCTGCTTTGCCACGCCAGGACAAGCTGGGCGCCTTGACTTTGCTTTGGACACGGCGTGCCGCACGCTGGACATTTATGACGATTACTTTGGCCAGCCCTACCCTCTTCCCAAGCTGGACATGATTGCCATTCCTGGTGCGCATGCTCTGTACCAGGCATCTGCTGGCCATCCGTGGTGTTTGTACTCACCGTGTGCCGACTATGCTCCGCTCCATTTTTGTGTCAAGACTTTGCGGCCGGTGCCATGGAAAACTGGGGCCTGGTTACCTATCGTGAAGTGGACTTGCTCATTGACCCTCCCACGGCGACCATTGGCCAGCTCATCCGCGTCTGCACAGTCGTGACCCACGAGCTGGCGCACCAGTGGTTCGGAAATCTGGTGACCATGGCCTGGTGGTCTGGCCTCTGGCTCAATGAGTCCTTTGCCTGCTTCATGCAGGTAAGATTGGCAGAGCACACACGTCCCGCATTCATCTTGACGAGACTGTCAGCCATTATCTTGCCATGACGCAGATCAACCATGACCGTGTGCTTGGGGCAGCTCATTGCCACCGACCGTTTTGTTCTGTCTCGTGTCCGCAGACCTGGGCCGCACACCAGCTGCACCCCGAGTGGAAGCTCTGGGAGCACTTTATCAGCCACGACATGGGTGCTGCCTTGCGCCTCGATTCCCTGCGTTCCAGCCATCCTATCCAGGTGCCCATTCAAGAGGCCAAGGAGGTCGAAGAGGTTTGTGACCGGATACATGTGTTTTTCCCGACCAACCTCTCTGGGGCGTTGCAGGTGCTAATTGGACGAACGTGGGGCACGTCGCAACAGGTGTTTGATGCCATTTCATATTGCAAGGGTGCCACCGTGGTGCGCATGATTGCGGCCGTCATTGGAGAGGAGGCCTTCCAAAAGGGACTGCAAATCTACTTCAAACGCCATCAGTACGGCAACACGGAAGGCTCGGACCTTTGGGCAGCCTGGAGCGAAGCTTGTGGCAAGGACATCAAGTGCGTAGCTGCCGACACTGATGCAACGTTTCATGAGTATACTTTCTTTGTGTGTGTGTGTGTGTGTGTGTGTGTGTGTGTGTGTGTGTGTGTGTGTGTGTGTGTGGCATTGGTGATTCTTTCACCAATGCCACCGCCTTTGCTTTGCTTACCCAACTCACACATGCCCCTTCTTATCGTTGGTCCACTTATTTGCCTTCTTTCTTACCCGGTTTGGGCAGTGCACTGGCTGCATCATGGACCGAGCAGATGGGCTTCCCATTGTTGCGCGTGGCGCGAAGCGAGGAGGGTGGCAAGGTCAAGCTCACTCTTCGTCAGACTTGGTTCCTGGCTGATGGCTCCGAGGTCAAGCCTGAGGAGCAAAAGACTTGGCAATTGCCGGTGTTTGTACGCAGTGCATCACGCGAAGAGCCCACGCTACTCATGATGACTTCGGCCGAAGAGTCATTTATCATCGAGGGTGCTGCCGTTACCGACTGGGTCAAGGTGAATGCCAATCACACCACCCCTATGCGTGTCTTGTACGACGATACTTCTTTCAAGGGCCTGCTCGAGGCCGTCAGCAGCAAGGCGCTCAACGTGGCCGATCGTGTCGGTCTTCTGCTGGACTATCACAGCCTGGTGCAGAGCAACTACGCCGCTATCCCCAGCATTTTCCGCCTGCTCAAGGCCTACTCCAACGAGGACGATGCCGTCGTTTGGGACGCCCTCTCCACCGTCCTCATGGCCATGCACAAGGTGCTGCGTGACCACGAGATGATGGAGCAAAAGATGCGCGCCATGGCATCGGACATGGTTGATCGTGCTTTTGCCACCGTGGGTTGGGACACGACCCCTGGCGAGTCGGCGCTGACGCGCGCCAAGCGCACGCGTCTGGTAGAGCTGCTGGCCAAGTTTTCGCGTTCTGAGGACATCTTGGCAACGGCACGCCGCAAATTTGAGGCTGTTTTGGAGGACCTTGGTACCTCCGAGTGCCCTCCCGATTACCGCGTGTCGCTGTACTCCATGGTGCTCAAGAATGGTGACGCTACTACGTACGACCAGCTCATGAGTCTGTACGAACGCAGCGAGACCAACGCGCAGCGCGTCCAAGTATTGCACGCCATTGGCTTTGCACCAACCCAGGCACTCAAGCGTCGCACTCTCGACTGGACCACAACAAAGGTCAAGCTGCAGGACTTTTTCTACCCCATCAACAGCGGTACGTCCAGGAATTCATGTTTGCTTTCTCCCACTTGGACTGCTTTTTGTTGGTTGTGTTTGTGTCTGTGTTTGTGTTTGTTTGTGCAGGTTGCGTCCCAGTCGCGCCTCTGGCATGGTTCTGGGGCTCTTCGACCGCTCGACGCTCGACGCTGATTTTTGGTTTGGATGCATTGGCTTGATAGTGGCGAGTTCATCGCACGAAGGCCAGGTCTTGGCCTGGACTTACTTTCAAGAGAATTTTGAGCGTCTGCGGGAGAAGCTGGCCCAGGCCAACCAATCATTGATGCATGCGGTCATTGTCTACAGTTGCCGTGGCTTCAACTCGCGTGGTACGTTTGGCTGCCTGCCCCAAAGTCCCATTTGCGTCGGCCCCATGTCGAACCACGGCCTCGCTCACTGCTATCACCAACCTATTGTAGAGCGCGTCGAGGAGGTGGCCAACTTTTTTGGCGCCCACCCCGTGCGCGGCGTGGAGCGTGGTATCCAGCAAATGCTCGAAGGCATGCGCGTCAATGTCGCTTTTGTCGAGCGCCTTTTGGCATCGGAGGTGGCGACCGAAGAATTCTGGACCTCGCTGTAAGCGCAGCGATGCCCTGACCATCTTTGTGTGCGGGCACGCGGGTCCGTTTGGCCGTGTGCCATGATTGCTGTGCATGGGCTATGGCAGTTTGCTAGCCGGAAAGCCCAATTGAGCACGTTTTGTGAAGCTGCACGGAATGTGGCTGAGACCGATGAAGCGTACGCATGGGCAAGTTGAGCAATTCAAAAAGGTGAACAAGTCAGGTTCGATTACAAGTTGATCAGGGCCCGCCTTCAACCGGCGTACAGAAAGTGTGCCACCACACCCAGGGTTACAAGGTAGCCATAAATGACCGCCTGTGCGGTTGGGTCGGTGTAGGATTGCGGCTGGCTGAACATGTTGACGGCCCCAGTCGCAAGATTGGCTACCAGAAAAATTGGCAAAAGGGCACGACCGAGAATGTGCAGCGTGTGCGAGATCCACCCGCGCGACTGGAAGGGAGGCCGAGTGACAGGATATGAGGCACTACACGGATTGCTGTAAGCAGGTAAGCAGGTCGGACCGTACGGACATACCTGGAGCCAGATGAGAACCAGCATCATGCTCAAGCCTAGAGCAAGGCTGCACAGGGTGTAGGCGGCATTGCCCTGACCACGATTAAGCGACAGGTGATGCGTTGGAGGTGAGATTGAGAACAAGCAAATGCACGGGCGAGGGATGGGGCATGGGCTGCTACAACAGAGATGGCGTGCGCGCGGCAGCGCGTACCAGTCGTCGCGAGGGCACAAATGACAAGGTGCTGGCGCAGGAGGCTGCAAAGATGAGAAGAAATGAGAGTGCCGCGCCGCGGGCCAAGCCAGAAACCCCGTGACGATGCAGAAAGGCCACGATGGTATAGAGGGCCCACATGGGGATGATGCTGGCCAGGCCTTCGCGGTTGGCTAGCAGCCAGCCCTCGCGCGAGGCGTGTAGCATGAGGTCACGGCCTTGCATGCATTGCAGCCACCATTCGTAGACACCGACAAGAAACATAGCAGCGAGGGCTTCGAGCGGGGTACCACGCAGGGATCGGGTGAGGAGGAGGACGGCGGCGATGGTGAGGAAAAAGTTCCAGTGCAGGCCGTATTCATCGACCGGGTGCTGGTAGCCGAGGAGGGCAACGGAGAGGGTACGTCCGAGACCCAGAACAAGGCAGAGAAGGGCCTTGGGGGCCACGCGTGCAAAAGGACGGGGCCGATGGGTCAAGGCCGAGGCCATGATGATGCCAGCGGTTCCGAGGTCCATGAGGGAGAGGTGTTCGACGGCGGTCTTGGCATACATCCGAGGCATGGCCGGGGTATCAATGGCCAGGATGGCAGCCACCGTCATCAGAATGACGAGGCCACGATATTGTCCGAGCCATGTGGCCGTAGCCAGGGTTGCTCGGTCTTTTAGGTTGGGGCGCGAGAGCTGACCCAGGACGGCAACGAGGAGGAAGCCCAGCGCGATTAGATTGAGGGGCCAGCTCGTCTCGTTGGTGGTCAATAGAAGGGTGGGCACTGCAGCAACGGCCAGGATCTTGCCAAAGCGGACGGGGCTGACTACTTCCACCAGGCTGGGCAAGATCTGTGGCATGTGGATTGGAAGCATGCCGAACGAAAGGGGAGGGAGGCAAAGGGGGGCGTGGGCGGAGGACAGTGGGACGTCAGTGGCAGCTGCAGTTGCCCATGGCTGCGTGGGAAGGGGTGGGAGAGTTGATGGAGACGAGCTGGGGAGGCGGGCCGGGTGCGAGCTGTACCGTGAGGGTCAGGAGAAGGGTCACGAGTAGAAAGGGGGGAGTCCCATCGGGGTTGGCCACAAAGGCGACACGCGGGTCGTCGCCGACCATGTCGCCCATTGTGCTGTTGGGCAGAAGGCAAATGCAAGGACTCGTGCTCAAGCAAGAGGCACCCAGTCACGACTGCAGCGATCCAACAGGTCCAAGACAGAGCAAGTGGGACAGGTCTGCGCGTTGAAGAAATGAGCGCCCAAATCGGAGGAGAGAGAGAGAGAGCAGAGAGAGAGGAGAGAGTGGAGAGAGAGGAGAGAGAGAGAGCGGATTGAAGAGCGGGGCGCGCCGTTTGAGAGGAGGAGGAGTAGCGCCCAGATCGAGAGAGGTGTCAGTGTCTCGCTCCTTTTCTGAGAGACAGAGAGACGGAGTGAGACAGAGAGACAGAGAGACAGAGAAACAGACAGACGGAGAAACAGAGAGACGGAGAAACAGAGAGACAGAGAGAGAGACAGAGAGACAGAGAGACAGAGACCGAGACGGAGAGGGAGACGAAGAGGGAGGGAGAGCACAAGAGCAGATCGAAGAGAGGAGTAGCGCGCAGAGAGATATATAGAGAGAGAGAGGTGTCGCACGGGCCAGTTGGGCCCCCTTTGGGCTGGATCAAGTAGCAGTGAAGACTGTGGGATACTAGGAGACTGGGGGGGCGATGAGAAGAGATAGGGATGTGTTGGCATGCGGATTGAGAGATGGAATCGTGTCTGTGGTTATAGTCTGTGGGAATGTAAAGCAAAAGCAGAGATGTGGGGGTTAATGGACCGAGATTGAGAGAGACAAAAGGTCATGTGGGGGGGAGGGGGGAAGAAGGATTAAATAGCATAATATGGCAGCGGGTGGCCTGTGGCAGCAGCCCACGTCGACCCCGATGCACGGGCAGACGCGTCATCATCATTATCACCATCATCATCCCACGATCGTAAGACCCTCCGTGCCTGCCAGCCTTCCACAACAATGTCGACCCCACTGCTCCTTGTCCTCGATCCGGTCGATCCCGCAACGATGACTCAGCACACACACACCCTCACACCACATCACACTGCAAAATTTCATGGATCTCTCTCTCTCTCTCTCTCTCTCTCTCTCTCTCTCTCTCTCTCTCTCTCTCTCTGTCTCTCTCTCTGTGTCTCTCTCTCTGTCTCTCTCTCTGTCTCTCTCTCTCTCTCTCTCTCTCTCTCTCTCTCTCTCTCTCTCTCTCTCTCTCTCTCTCTCTCTCTCATCTCTCTCTCTTCCTTTACTTCATTTCAAGAGAGGGTGAGCGGGGTTGAAAGGGCAGCCGGCGCAAGATTTGCACCAGCTCTTGGTCTTCTTTCAGTCCCGTCTTGTTCTTGTTGCCGTTTCCTCCTCTTGATTGCACCGCCCGTCTCCTCCCCCATTGAGCACCGTGATCGAGTGCGCGACGTGGTACGTTGGCGTGCGTGCTATCTACGTGTGTGTTCCGCCCCCAAGCGCGCAGTTGCGCGCCCGCCGCTGCTCTTGACCTCTTGAATGGATTGACACGCGCCGTCGGTGTGCATAGCATATATTTGTTCGGAACTTGACGCCGGCGAGTTGGACCAGTTTCCTTCTCCCACTTCTCTCCCGCTTTCCCCAAAGTCTGGTTGCCATTGGCCAGAGCCTTGGCGCACCCCGTTGCTTTCCTTCCTTGTCGCCCTCTTGTCGCCCTCGTCTCTCCTCGAAACGTCAAGCGCTACTCGCCAGAGATCAGGTGTCACCACCTCTCCTTCTCCTTCTCCTTCTTCTTGTTGGACACGGTACCCGCGACTCTGGTCGTGCCTTTTGTGCGGGCGCGTCGCACGCTTGGTCTTGGTCGATTTTGGAATCGGGCAGACCAGCGCCCGACACATTTGTTCAAAGCGGCACGTTCCATGTCACTCGCGTGGGTCGGCGCCTGGTCTCGCGCGTTTGCTCCCATTGCCTCGCGCCACTTGCGACAGCCTCGCCCTCGGTTGGCCCCCACCCTCTCGCTTCCGCTTCACCGGGCGGGCGCCGCCGCCGTCGCCGACATGTCCACCAGGGGCATCATCACCCAGGTCGACGAGAGCGGAAGCTACGTGTCTGGTGCGTCCCCCAATCCAACACACATGTTGGCTCGCCTTGTTGATATGAGTTGATCCTTGGGTTTGCCGCTTGGCTATCTGCATGCCCTCATCACCGCCCGCTCACGTCCTTCCACCCGACAAAACGAACAAAAACCTTGCTTCTTGCTACAGATGAACCTGCACAGTCCTGGTGGCAGCGGAGTCTTTGCTGTTGTACGGGTCGCAAGCCCGAGCAAGTCGTCACTCACACACGCCAAACTCAGGCCCAAGCTGCCAACCCCACCCCTCTCTATGGCCCGGTCAGTTTCATACCTGCGCCCGCCTTGCAAGCTCGTGCCAATTTGGGAATCGGTCTCATACCAGCAACACCATACCGGCGACTTGACTCTCGATGGCGGCTCCCTCTCACCCGCCTGTCCTCTGCCATTGCCTACTTTTTTCACCGCGTGCCGTGTAGCAACCCGATCCAGGCTTTAACCTCCTCCCTGCACCCCTGTCTTCCATGAAAGGCCGCAAGTGCTTGGTCCTTGATCTCGATGAAACTCTTGTGCACTCGTCCTTCAAAGTTGGTTCACACCCTGCCCGTGCTAGCCGAAAAAAGACGGCGCGCTTAATCGTTCACACCCCCCCCCCCCCCTTTTTGATGTTCGCCTCCTCATCCATCATCCATCCTGTACACACGCTTGGCCGAGCTTAGCCCGTTCCCAATGCCGACTTTATCCTGCCCATCGAGATTGACGGCACCACGCACAATGTCTACGTGCTGAAGCGCCCCTTTGTCGATGAGTTTCTCGAGGCCACGGGCAAACTTTTTGAAGTTGTGCTCTTCACCGCCAGTCTGCCCAAGGTGCAACTTGAATCCTCAGTCGTCTGGCCTTGCGCTTTGAGATGACATCTTTCCCACGTCTTGCCGGCTCAATCATGTGTGTTTTGCTGTTTGGTCTTCTTGATGCTGCCCCCAGTATGCAAGCCCCGTCTCAGATCGTCTGGATCCGCAAGGATTTATTCAGCATCGACTCTTCCGTCAGCACTGCGTCTTCCATGAAAATTCCTACATCAAGGTTCGCTTCATGCTTCCTCCCCGCCAACCCACCCCTTGACACGTTCACGCAACACAAACGCAGATTCTTGGCTCCTCTTGGCCCATGGCCTCTCATCTTCTCCATTGTGCACTACCTCTGCATCTACGTGTGATTGTGCCCGTGGTTATTGGGTCGTGCTCTAGGATTTGAGTCGGTTAGGGCGCAATGTGGACCAATGCATCATTGTGGACAACGCGCCCAGTTCCTATTTATTCCACCCGCAGAACGCCGTGCCCATTGAATCCTGGTTCGACAATCCGGAAGACACGGCACTCAGGGATTTGATTCCTTTTTTCACCCGCCTGGCCGAACTCAACAACATCTACCCAGCCCTGGAAATGGCCTAGCATTCCTGCAAGCCGCCATAGCGGTTGTGATGTTGTCGACGTGGTATTCTCTGCTTGCCAGAAGATGGTTCATGGAACGCGGTGCCCTTTACACTCGTGCGCCGGGTGCTTCTGCGCCCTCGTCTGTCATCATTTGTGCTTTTTTTTTGCGCACCCCTGATCTTCCCCTTACAACTTTGTGTGCTGCCACACGTACTTTCGACGCGCCTAGCGTCTAGCTTCTTGCGATCTGTCGTGACATGCCACTTGTCTTTTCTACTAGTGTCCTTGTTATTTCTTTTTTTTTCTTTTTTTTTTTCTTTTTTTTGTGATTTGCTTGAAGGTATTCATTACGAGTTTGTTCAACAGATGCTTGCGCGCGGTTCTTCTCGCCTAACAGTCGCTTGGTCGCTATTGGTACTTCTGTCTACCTCCCTTTGCCAACCTGTCTGGCGTGCACCTGTCCGTGTGGTCTTGCCCCGTGTGTCTGTGTGTTGCTGTGCGTGTATGGGTGTTGGTGCTATCAGACGGTTGAGCCCGGTAGGCAATTGATTTAATAGAAACTGGGGTCACACCTGACAAATGTGCTCGGCCAAGAAATTCGGACGCTCCCTTGCAATTGTCCGTGCGCCTTCCTGATAATAGGCCCAGCTGCCAGCCCTGCATTCCCAACCCCGCGGCGCCCGAGGCTTGCGTGCTTTCTGCTGATTCCCAAAAGCGACGAGTAGAGACACTCCCCGAGCAGCACACCCCAGAGACGGTCAGCGCCCGGAGCACGTATGGGTGAGGTCGGATTTCCATAACATTATGGCTTTGATCGTTGCGTCCTCTATCTTTGTTCATGTGTGACCCGCTTGCCCGTCGTCCCATCAGATGCAGCCATGGCCCTTGACCAAGAAATGAACCTGATCTTGCTTCACTCATCGCAAGGCAAGGCACGATATAACCCAACACCGTGTTGTTGCTCCCAACGCGCCCCTTTGGCAAATTGCAGTGAGCATCCCCAACCCCCTCTCCGATTCGTTGCTGCACTAGCACTGGCGATGACAACAGCCATTCGGGCGACACCACCATCCCCGAGCAAAAACCAGAACCGTGCAGCACCAATTGCCGTGCTTGATTCACCCGACCGCACAACCATGCCCACATCGTCCTTGACGACCAACTCCTAACACCTTTGATGTTAATTTTCTTTCTCCGCAGTTGATCAAACGGCAGCCCGAGCCTGACTGAAGTCGACTCTTTGGAAACCAGTCCTGACTGGTTCCGCAGGATTCGTATCAAGCCAGGCGTCGTGCGGCACACCGACACACCCTCACTCAGACACGAACACTGACCCCAACCCTCTACCCCCGCCCGTTTGGTAGGGGAGTCAATGTTACAACATTTCTCCTTCCTTGCGTTACCCATCGTTGGTTTCTTCCGAACTCGCCTCACTTCTGATGACCCGTTGACTTCCCAAGTCTCCTTGATCATCTTATCCTTGTGGTGAGTGAGCCTTGTTCGTTTGCCTTTTCCCCCTCCCCCAACACCAGGCCCCGCAACACCCAAACTTGGTCAGGGTCATCGTCCCCCTACCGGCGATGAAGGGACACTGCGAGAGAAGAGAGACAGAGAAGAAGAGAGACAGAGAGAAGAGAGACAGAGAGAAGAGAGACAGAGAAGAAGAGAAGAGAGACAGAGAAGAAGAGAAGAGAGACAGAGAAGAAGAGAGACAGAGAGAAGAGAGACAGAGAAGAAGAGAAGAGAGACAGAGAAGAAGAGAGACAGAGAGACAAAGAGAAGAGAGAAGAGAGACAGAGAGAAGAGAGACAGAGAGAAGAGAGACAGAGAGAAGAGAGACAGAGAGAAGAGAGACAGAGAGAAGAGAGACAGAGAGAAGAGAGACAGAGAGAAGAGAGACAGAGAGAAGAGAGACAGAGAGAAGAGAGACAGAGAGAGACAGAGAGACGTACCAAAGAGAGATGGGGGGACAGATATTGTGTAATTGTGCATGACAACCAAAGAGAGAGAGAGAGAGAGGGACCATCGTCTTGGCTTCCACGCGCCTGTTGGGCACACACGGCATTCCTCCCTCCTCTCCCCCTCCTCCTCCTGCTCCTGCTGTTCCCTTGTTCCTCTCTCGTTCTCGCTCTGTGTTGGGTTCTGCTGCTGGGTGAGAGGTGGTATATGGCGGGTGGGCGGCTGTCGGGTGGTGCATTTTTCTTTGACACGCACAAAGACAACAACCCCTCTGACAGAGAAAGGATCGTCGCTACGTGGACACAGCCTCGCTTCCAACCTTGACGACCGTTGACACTGCGCTGTGCTGTGCTACTGGGCTGCCGTTGGACGCTTGAAACCCGGACGAACCTGCCATCATGGGTGCCGCTTGTAGCAACTCGAACACTGTCTTGACCCGCAACACTCATCCCCCGGAGCCACTCGCTGCCGTACGTTTATCATAGCCTACTGCCCTGGCCCCACCGCCCTCGGATCGACCTGATGCGCTTTGCCTGTTCCACAGAAGGCACCCTTGGCTGCTCAGCTGCCCAGCCATGTCATCCCCGTCTCCAGCAAACCAGTGCAAGCCACCACCGTCCCCGTTGTTGGTGAGTGACTTTGCCTGACCCTGCTCCCCGTTAAATCAACGAAGCTCACGGTGGTCTCAACGCGAAAATATACAATGCTGCAGATTCGCAACAGTCATCAACAACCGCACCTGTCGAGTTAGATGCCGAACCCAGCGAGCAAGCAGCTGTTGAATCCACGCCCATTGCCGAAGAAGCCGCGGCACCCGCAACAGAGTCGGCTCAGGCTCCAGCTGATGAGCCTTCCGCTCCTGCTGAACATCAATCTGCTCCTGCTGAGGAGGTCGCTCCAGTTGAGGAGACTGCTGAGGAGTCTGCTCCCGCTGAGGAGTCTGCACCCGCTGAAGAAGCCGCTGCACCCACTGAGGAAGCCGCTGCTCCTGTTGAGGAGTCTGCACCCGCTGAAGAAGCCGCTGCACCCACTGAGGAAGCCGCTGCTCCTGCTGAGGAGTCTGCACCCACTGAGGAAGCCGCTGCTCCCACTGAGGAAGCCGCTGCTCCCGCTGAGGAGGCTGCTCCTGCTGAGGAGGAGGAGGCCGCTGAGGAAGCCGCTGAGGAAGCTGCTGCTCCCGCTGAGGAGACTGCTGAGGAGGCCGCTGCTCCCACTGAGGAGTCTGCACCCGTTGAGGAAGCCGCTGCTCCCACTGAGGAGCCTGCTCCTGCTGAGGAGTCTGCACCCGCTGAGGAAGCCGCCGCTCCCGCTGAGGAGGCCGCTGCTCCTGCTGAGGAGACTGCTGAGGAGGCCGCTCCCGCTGAGGAGGCCGCTGCTCCTGCTGAGGAGTCTGCACCCACTGAGGAAGCCGCTGCTCCCGCTGAGGAAGCCGCTCCCGCTGAGGAGGCCGCTGAGGAAGCCGCTGAGGAAGCTGCTGCTCCCGCTGAGGAGACTGCTGAGGAGGCCGCTGCTCCCACTGAGGAGTCTGCACCCGTTGAGGAAGCCGCTGCTCCCACTGAGGAGCCTGCTCCTGCTGAGGAGTCTGCACCCGCTGAGGAAGCCGCCGCTCCCGCTGAGGAGGCCGCTGCTCCTGCTGAGGAGACTGCTGAGGAGGCCGCTGCTCCCACTGAGGAGTCTGGTTCTGCTGAGGAGTCTGCACCCGCTGAGGAAGCCGCTGCTCCCACTGAGGAGTCTGCACCCGTTGAGGAAGCCGCTGTTCCCGCTGAGGAGGCTGCACCCGTTGAGGAAGCCGCTGCTCCCGCTGAGGAAGCCGCTCCCGCTGAGGAGGCCGCACAAGCCGCTGAGGAAGCCGCTGCTCCTGCTGAGGAGACTGCTGAGGAGGCCGCTGCTCCCACTGAGGAGTCTGCACCCGTTGAGGAAGCCGCTGCTCCCACTGAGGTGCCTGGTTCTGCTGAGGAGGCCGCACCCGCTGAGGAAGCCGCTGCTCCCACTGAGGAGTCTGCACCCGTTGAGGAAGCCGCTGTTCCCGCTGAGGAGGCTGCTCCTGCTGAGGAGGCCGCTGAGGAGTCTGCACCCGCTGAGGAGACTGCTGCTCCTGCTGACGAGACGGCGGAAGATGCTACCGCTGCCGAGGGTGATTCAACTCAAGAAGAACCTGCTGCTCCTGCTGAGGACAGCACGACAGAAGCTCAGGAAGCAACAGCCTAGTTTTGCACTCTCAGATATTGCACCATTGGCGTGTCGCGTATTTGACATGGCTTTAGCCTTCGACCGTGTAACAGGGAGCCTGACGGCTTTTTAGTCTCTTAGTAAACGAGTGTATGCGAACTTTGCCTCTTAATGCTCATCATATAAATTGACCTATTATGAAATAAAACGAGACTTGGGCTATCATGATGGACAGTCGCTGCATTCAAAGAAGGGAATCGAACACGCTCAGCGTGGCAACAACCAGGCCTTGTCGGGCCATTCATAGAGAAAGCCCTGCAGCCGATCACGAGCGCTCATCGCGATGGTAAGATTTGTGTTTGTGTTTGTGTTTATGTTTGTGCTTGTGCTTGTGGTCGCCCTTGTCCTTGTGCTTTTTGTGATGTTGATGCTTGTGCTTGTGTTGGCGTTGCTCGTCATCCGATTGCTCTTGTGAGGGGCTGACAGGGCTCCGCACACGAGCGGAGCTCGGTTTGGCGCTTGCCGGACTTGGTGGAGATGGCTTGCCAAGCTCTATACGCCCAAAAAATGTATCGAGCAGAGAGTGAGGAAGAGGTGAATCGAAAAGTCCCATGGAGCACAAGCTATGTACAGTGGCCAAGACCTGAGTCAGGATGCAGCTTGTGGAAATTGTCGTGGCCCCATCGATCGGTGCTGGCGGCCTGGAGTCGGTCAAGCCGATGCCACAACTCGCTATGCTTCTGAGTTCTGGGCTTGCTGGGTTCTCGGTCTCGGCTGCGGTCTCGGTCCCGGTCACGGCTGCGGTCTCGGTCTCGGTCTTGGTCTCGGTCTAGGTCTTGGTCCCAGTCTTGGTCCCAGTCTCGGTCCCGGTCTCGGTCCCGGTCTCGGTCCCGGTCTCGGTCCCGGTCTCGGCTGTGGTCTCGTCTGTGTTCTCGGTCTTGGCCATGTTCTCGGCTACGGCTGCGGTCCATGTCTCGGTTTCGACTGCGGTCCCAGACTCGTTCTCGCTCTCGCTCTTGTTCCTGGTTGCAGTGTTGGCCTCTGACAACCAGGTCGCTTCGGGCTGGCTCAGCCGCACCTTCATCCTGGCGGCGTTTTGCTTGCATTAAACGCTGACGGAGACGCGTTTCGTCAGCCGTCTTTTGACGCTCATATTCCTGCCAGGCCTCCTCAACCTCCCAATGCTACCCGCATGCACGGAGAATCATGTGAGCTCCATTCCCAACGAAACCGAAGCAAGTATACAAACAAAAGGGCAAGAGCGCAACCAACCTTGTTGTGTGAATCCACCTGCCGTACCACACCGTTGAGAAGGCGGGTATCCACGCGGCGGACGACGCGCCGCCCGCCCGACGCGCGCGCTTCCCGGAACAGGCGACCAGCCATCTGGCAACTCTTCTCTTATCTGTAAAACGTTTAAAAATAGAGAGTGTGCAAGTTGTGTCAGCCGATCCGCGTTTGAGTATTCGCGGGAAAAGAACACTATTGATGAAAAGAGAAAAGCTCCGTTTTACTAATATAAAAAATGAATCGAAATTTTCGAATGTCATGCTGTGTGTACACACACGTAAACGTGTGCTGGAACGCTGACAACAACGCTTGGCAGACGTCCACGCTTACTCCCTCTCTGAATGTTCCATGTGACGCTCGTCCTCTCTTTACGTCGTCACTTTTACTCATATCTCTGACGAGACGCTGCTCCTCGCTCCCACCTCTTATTGCCGCTTTGGTCTTGCTCTCACACTTCTACCTCTCTGCTCCTTCCTCTCCGTCTCAACACACAGACCGTATCCCTCTCTTTCATCCGCTGCTTCACTCTCTCCCTCTCTATCTATTTCGCTCCGCTTCGCTCTTCCCTCTGCGTTGCTTGCTCGCTCGCTTGCGGCACTTTTTTTTTTTTAGTGTTGTGGACTGCTGTTGTTGCCGCGGCTCCCTTTTGGCCCCGAAAAGCGCGCTCGCGCCGCTGCCGCGCTGACATTGAGACGGAGCGTCGTCGTCGCGTGTCGGGTGTCGAGAGTGCCGAGTGCCGAGAGCAGCTGCCAGGATGGCAGGGGGTGTGACACAACCACCTTTTTACATTGATGTGAAAGCTTGTTTGGACAATGTGGAGTTTTTGTTATCCAATGCGCCAGCTGCGCAGGTGCAGCCGTCTCCGCATCGGCGATGGTCCATCACACATGGTTCAGGGTTTGGGCTCGAGGAGTCCGACTCCATTTTAATGGAGCATAACAAGTCTGCAGCCCAGACCCGGTCGGTGCGTCGAGCCCTGAGTGCGCAGTGGGGCTGCGAAGCTGATGACAACAAGGGTGCTGTCGTGCCTGCCAAAAGCGCGGCTCGAGAAAATCCGTCCACCCATGGCGAGAACGACATTGACCCAAATGACTTGAGCCTCATTCTGCCGGACGAAATCTTGCTCAAAATTTTTCGCCACCTGGATGGCCGGTCACTGGCTCGGGCGTCCTGCGTCAACAAGCGGTTCGTGACCGCGATCCTTGGCTGACTGCCTCGATGTTTGAAAGACAAACCCACTCTTGTTTGTGAGTGCGTTTTATGCTCGAGCTCACTCGGCTTGCTCATCGCTCGTTCCCTCTTCTCAGATGGTTTTACTTTGTTCGCGCATACGAGCAACACCTATTCCGGCCACTGTGCAAGGCCTCTGACTGGCTCGATGTCGTGGCTTCGCCCCGGCATCGTGGCCTCGCGGAGCATTTTACGGTGCACAGCCCTACGCGCGTGGTCCACAACAGCAGCCACTATGAAGCAGCAAACAAGGAGAATATCATCGTGACCCCGCCACGCCATTCCGATACTTCAAAGGAACCCAACTGGCGGCTGGTGTTTGCCAAAAACACGCTGCTCAGGAACGTCTGGACCAACGCCGACCAAGCCGAACTGGAACGTCGCCGCACTGCTCAGCGGTCCCTCATCGTCCCCATGGACACTGAAGCTTGGGGTGCCTCCCTCGACGCCTTTGATGGGCATAGCAGTCGCGCGTCTTGACACGGTCATAACCCCCCCATCTTTGGGCGCGTTCTTCAGTGATGCATGATTCCATTTTGATGCCGTTTCTCGCTCCGTGTTTGTGTGTGCGTATACCCATGTAACAGAAAGATTTTCGATATGAGTGAGCCGCCGTGTGTCGTGTGAGGGCTTACCCCCATGCCCAACCCGGTCCCGTATTCTTATTCGCATGTTAACCAACCAAACCCGCCACCGCCGCCTCTTCCAATTAACCCTTGAACTTCCCCAAGAACCTGGCTTTCCTTCAATTCAAACAACAACAAGGCATGGGCTCCATCCCCCAAAAGACAGTGTGTGTGATTGGTTGTCAGGTAACTTTGTCTGACAATACAAATGTCATCATTTTACCAACGCCACACACTTTTCCTCTCTCTCTCTCTCTCTCTCTCAGTCTCTTCAGTCTCCCTGCAGTCTCTCTCTAGACAAGCTGCTGCTGCTGCTGCTGGTGTTACTGTTACTGTTGGTGTGGCGGATTTTCGTTCAGCAGGCATCTGCGTGTGGCTGCTGGTCCTTGAGCAGGGCGTTTGGGACGTGGAGGGCACGCGTCTTCTGGCTCGTATGAGACACAACAACAACAGCCTGTCGAACCCCTTTTTTTTGGTCGCCGGGGGTGGTTTTTTTTTTTATTCGTCTGGTGCGGTCCGAAGACCGTCTCACCTCCCTCCAAATTGGAGGGACAGCCGTCAGTCGTCGCCGTCACCGTCGCCGGCCTTGACATCGACAGGTGTTGTCGGTGAGACTTGGCCCTTGGATCGGCATTGCCATTCATTGCCTTTGCCTTTTCCCCTGCCTCTTTGTCTCTCTTGGCTCTGACCACCGTGGGCTGCCGGGAAACAGGCGGCCATGGCCCCACCGGGTGAGGCCATCGTCCTCGTGAACCAAGACACCGAGGACATGGCGGGCGAAGTTGCCGCCCTTCCTCCCCCCTCCCCCTCTCCCCTCATCCTTGCTGAGACGGATCTGGGTGGCGAATCCAGCACCGATGCCTATGATGAGAGCACGGGACTCCTTTCCCACAACGACACGGGAAAATCCGAACACGGCATGAGGTACAGATTTCCTGGTCTGCACGGCGCTTGGGGCCAGTACATCACAAGCACAAGCATCAGCTTCACAAGCACAAGTGGTTTTCTTCTCTTTTTTTTTCGTTTTTAAGCGTTCCTAAGATTCTCAGCATCTCCCTCCCCCCCCTATCGTCTGCTGAGCTCATGATCTGTATGTCTCGGTGCCTTCCAATAGAAAACACTGGGGCACTTGGATCAAAACCTTGCTGCTGGTCGCCCTTTTGATTCTAGCCGCCGTGCGTTTGCCGCTCCCTCTTGCTCCGACTCGTCAATCAAACAAACAAGAAATTCCGCCTCCACGCGCTCCCTCAGGCGGCCGCTGTCCCTCATTTCTCCATACGTTTTACTGATCATTCTGACAGGTCGCCTTTGCCATGAATGAGGAAGAAGATCTCATTGGCCAACTCATCGTCATTGCCGATGGCGCGGGCACCGAGGTCCCCATCACCACACGACAAACAGTCCTTGACATCAGTTTGAGAGGTTCGATGTTGCCCTTCTGCCCCTTTCCTTGGTGTGTACCCCACCAACAGATTTTGACTCACCTGGTCGCCACGCCCCATCCTAGCGTCCGACTCCTCCAACAGCACCGTCACAAGCACCATCGCCCTTTCAAATGGCAATATAGTCGTAAGAACAGCTCGCACATGCGCTGGGCTTTGCTCATCCGTGTCCCTGTGCCCCACCTCGGCTGTGCTGCCTCGTGAGGCTTGATCTCCTCTGTTTGCATGCCGACTATTTGGCGATCTTTAGGCTGGCCCAACCTTTGACTTGGAACCCCACGCCTCAACCAGCGAAGCTGATTACATCACACAGCGTGTCGAGCTTCCAAGCCGTGCCGACTCTATCACACTGGGCACCGCAGAGGACATCAACCTGGCGCTGCTCGTGCGCATTGAGGGCCTTTCTTCCTTGGTGAAATACGAGGTGTGAAATAGACCTGGACAAGCCCTTGACTCCTTAGCGCAGTACTCAAGCCCCACCCAGGCGACATGACATATTGTCAATTCAACTGACCACGCACGACTCTGGGCACCCCCGCTTGTTTTGCAGGTTATCTTTGCCGCTCTGATCCTGGTCTTGGTCTACGTCCTCATCATTTTTGAGCTGATCCACCGTGCCTTGGCCGCCATGCTGGGCGCGTTCATGACACTCGGTGTCCTATCCGTCCTGGGCAAACAACCCTCTTTGGCCACCATCGTTGGCTGGATTGACTACGAAACGGTCATGCTGCTCTTTGGCATGATGATCATTGTTAGCATTCTCTCCGAGACTGGCATCTTCGAGTGGGCTGCTGTCAAAGCTTACAAGCTCTCCAACGGATCCATTTGGAAGCTCCTCATCATGCTCTGCAGCTTCAGGTCTGTCGCTCCGCCCAGCTCGACTCATCGTCCGCCCCTCCCATCTGCTTGCCCGCATAAGACCAAACTCAAATTTTCAAACGTGCCGTGCCGTGCCATCATAGTGCCATTGTCTCTGCCTTCTTGGACAACGTGACGACCATTCTCCTCCTGACCCCCGTCACCATCCGCATGTGCAATGTCATCGGCCTGGACCCCACCCCGGTTCTCTTGGCCGAAGTCATCTTTTCAAACATTGGTGGCACGGCAACAGCCGTGGGCGACCCGCCCAACGTCATTATCGTTAGCAGCGACTGGAGTGTGAATGGGGAAAAGGACATTCAGTTCACCGAATTTACGGTTCGTCCGTGAGCTAAACACCCAAACACATCGACTCACTCTTGGATGAACCTGCTGGCGAGCTCATCGCGAGCTCTTTCTCTTTTTGGGATGGGGGGGGGGGGGGGGGGGGT